TCATGTCCTTTTTTTTTTGTTGCCCAAACTCATGATTTGTACTATATGTTTTTTTTTTGGTTGTAACAAAAATCAAATCTTTTTGGTGCAAACCCATGAATGATTTTTGTAAATAAGTCAAGAAGTGTTGTTCAGAAAAGTTTTTTAGTTGTTGTGTATTATCTTTTTGATATGAAAATCTAACCTCCATAATATTCATTCATCATAGCTTTTATCAAATAGTACTGAACTTTGAATTTTTTTTAAGGTAAAATATTCATAAATGGACAGACTGGGACAGCTAAAGTAAAATTACACAAATTAAGTAACAACATAACCACCAACAAATCAAATTAGAATATTGAAAAAACTTTAGGAAAAGAAAAACACATTCATTTTGGAAGGTGTTTTGGCAGACAAATAGATAAATCTAAATACTCTATCTCTCTTGTCATCAACCATTTTCTGACATTCTACATTATTAATATATATCAAGTTGAAAAATAATTGTTATTATTGAGTGCAAAGAAATTGGTTTGCTTTAAAAAAATTATTCATCAAGGAATCATTTTTAACTTACCTAAAGGAGGAGGGTAAAAAAACACCAAAAAAGTAGTATAAAATAAATCAAATTATTATACCCCACACAACAGCATATTATAATGACAAAGAATACACTTTATTTTTTTTTTTGTGTTTGATAACTTTATACTTGATTGGTATTAGATTCATCTTACCCACCTCCATTAGCTGTTTAATCTTAAGAAAAAAAAAATCAAAGCTCAATACTACATCAAAAATAAAACGTGACTTAAAAAAAGCAAAATTATCTCATTTTTTTTTATTAACTTACATCTAATACCATTTTCTGTTATTAATTTCTTAAAAAATATTATTTTAAATTAATACCATCAGTTTTTTAAAATAAATAAATACCAAAAGATGGAGTATAAATGATTTCCTGAACTAAATGTATACTATTTTTTCTTTGGGGTTTCATTTTAATAATTATGAAAATATGATATTCTGAAACAGTTTCGACAAAAGAAAGTTAACCGATCAAAAATTGACTATTGAATATAAAATACTAGGAAATCTATTTTTTGTAAAAATTTTAAGTGAAACTTATAATAATTTTTTCTGTTTATTCCACTTTCATTATTTAAAAATAAAGATATATACACTTATTTCCTAATATTTACACAAAAATGTTAATGATATTTACACAAAAATGTTAATAATATTTACACAAAAATGTTAAAACAAATGTTTTGCTTAGCATTACATTTTTAATATTACAAAAATTATTATACCTCGTATCATCGTATTTAATCAAAAAATTCCGGATGGCATTTTGTTTTCATAAACATTAAGGTTATGGACTTAATTAAAATACATTTTTGTGACATGAAAATTAAGTATTTTTTTTTTCAAATGCGTAGTAAACTCCAAAAGAAGAAGTGCAAAAAGTTACAGACCCAAAAAAAAAAGTAGTTGGAATTATTGATTTTGGTATTTTGGTGGTAAGACAGAATTTTCCTGTCGGCAAATGCTGACTTCTCACCAAATCTCTCTCTCTAATTATTTGACTATGTTTATTTTTGTTTAAAAACATTTTAATTTTATTTGATTTTTAGTGTAAAAAGTTTTTGAAAAAGAGAAAATTTTATAATGATATGGTAGAGGACAATACTTTTTTTTTTTTTTTGTAATACAACACAAGAATCTCGTCCTCTCCCAATGTTTCCTCATCATTATACAAAATTACAAACTTCCATTTAAAATAAAAACAAGAATAAAAAGAATAAAGTAGATTCTTTTTCCTTTCACATTTTTTTTTTGGTAATTATAAATTTCGTATTTTCGTTTGTTTCACATTGTGAATTGCTTAATCACTTTTTCATCAGATTAAATAATGGCATAATACACTTAAGTTTGATGATTACGCTAATGACATCGACACGTGGCATGATTAGTAGAGATCATTGCTCTCGTGTCGTATATGTGTGTACACGTACTCGAAGGAGTAGCAGATCATAGCTTCCCAACGCATATTAATACTGTAGATAAAACGGCGTCGCAGAGCTGACAAGTTCTTCTGTCGTGTGAGTTATGGCACGTGCGGTCAGAAGGTTTCTCTAATGACGTCAATAATATTTCTTAAGCTTTTTGCTAATTGTAAATAAACAATTTTTTCTGTATTGCCTGATTAATTATGTAGATAACGTAAATAATATTACTGTTCACATATAAATAAATTTGTGTATGTCCCTTGTTTTAAAACTAAATTGTATAAGAACTAGTGGTGATGTTACTACTAAAAATTACTTTTCATGCAAAAAGAAAAAATAGAATTTTTGTGAAACTATTACTTTTATGTGACTAAATAAACATTTATCCTCAAGGACTTTTTTTTGGGTTGAATATAATTCAACATTCATTCAAAAAAAAAAACATTTATCCTCTTGAAATTTTTGAGAAATCATATTTTTTTTTCCGGTTGAGCTTTGTTTTGAATTATTCGATTAGGAACTGAGATATTTTTGATAGAAAAAAAAGATGTATTACACTCTAATTACTTGTAGAGTAAAATTAAATTGGAGTTCATATTTTTCTCTATTGCATCTTGGAGTCCAAATAGTTTACTCCATGTTCTTTTAGTATATTATATTAACAAATTTTAGAGATACAGATATAAACTATATTATTTGAAAAGAGAGATCATTATTACTTAGGGTGAGTTGATATGAAATGCATAATGATAAAAAGAGATTGTGTCTATTTCGAATTATGAGTTCCGAGTAATATTATACAAAATTATAAATCAACATATTCCCATGGTCTATGGAGCATGTGATGGAATGATTTCTTCTAGGTTTCCTTGTTTGCGAGCAAATTATGAAACGACACTGTAAAACTAATTATAATCTCATTTACAACCACAAATTGGGTTTGATCATCAATCAACACAAAAGCTTCATCTTCTTAAGATAATTGTATAAACATCTTACCTAAATATCGAATACTTGACCATGAGTTCACTACTGATTGGAATCAATGGTTACGGCTACTCACCAGCTCCAGCCACGAAAGAATACGTCTTTTCATACTAAGGAATACTTTGTGGGCTTTTGTCCATTGGTCCATTTAACAGGCCTTACTCGAGATACACCGGTTATATTTTAAGATTATTTGGTTTTTTTTTTTTAGGTCGGTATGTCGTTGGTGTTAATTCTTATACCAACATTATTACACGCAATCTCTTTTTCTAAAGAATATAGATAAGAACATCCGCAACAAATTCATGAATCTCAATTCATATCCAAAGAGACTACTCTTACAAAGAAGGGTTAACTTTCTGGTTTGCTACTCGTCCTCCTCCACATTGATCGTACTTGTTTTTGAGCTTCAAAGTTAGAGTTACAATTATTTTTTTCCGATCTCACTGTTTCAAACTCAAGTATACAATAATTGTAAAACAGTTTATTCTGTTTGAGTAAAATTTACGTTCAATTCAAAAAAAAAATTGCAAATATTAATATTTTATAACTATATATAAAACGTGTTGTGAAGTTATGTTAAAGCTAAGAGAAAGAATAACCGAGAATCTACTATATTCCAAAATTGATATATTTATGACAAATCACATTCATCACTTTTTTCTTAATTAGGTATGGAAGTATCTTATAGTTTGACAAATATATGAATTCAAGTTAGCTTAAGAAAAGAGTTACTTCTCCACAAATTGACACATGATTCTTCTTTATTCTTCTTCCAAAATAGCACAGTTCTTAATCATTTATTTTGTGCGTTGATTTTTTTTCACAAATCTTAAGGTAAGATTTGTGTAAAAACCCATGCAATGAGGATAGTCTTAGCCTACCACATCATTTAGAAAAATAATAGAAGATATTTTCAATATGAAAAGGCCTAATACAATAACCAAGAGTTCTAATGCCACATGCCTGCTGCAATGGACATTGGATATATGCTTATACTCCTGCTTCTGGTTGTACTTGTATATATCAGCAAGAAAATTTCGAAAAATATTGCTGTCATGTTCTCTATTGGTTCATTTGGTTTCATATAACAATTCTCAATTCTGTGAAGAAAATTAAGATTTTGCTTAGAAATCGATCTAATTGAACCGGTCACTTCTGCCCATCCAAATTGATCCAAAGGGAGTAGTAGTAAGGGAAAATGGTCATTTAAATACTGAACTTACGTGTTTTTGCCAAAACAAATATGAACTTCTTAATAAGCCAAAAAGCACACGTACTCGCGTTGATATAGCCACTTAAAATATAAAAAAATCAAGATAATTTTCCATCTTATAAAAGTTAAACGGCGTTTGTCCTGATACCATTACTTTCCAGTTTCCACAGCATGCTGACAGGTTTATGTAGTAAAGAGGAATTACAAAAGGCATTGACAATGTTAGAGGATCTACAAAATAATTTGGTATGTCCTCTACTCACTTATATCCAATCTACGTATTTTCCTTTTCAGTTTTGGAGACGAATATATACAGCTTTGCTTGTAGAGCTTCTAATCTAGCATCCGGGGAAGTTTGCAACTGAAATGTCTAAGTCAAATTTATGATAGATTTTCAAGATTAACCCTCTCTGATTAGCTTGGTGGGTTTGCTTTGCAGGATCTTCAAATTGAAGATGAATGAAAGAACTGGAAGATTCAATGTCTTCTCGCTCTTGTAATTCCATTTCTACACGCCTTACGACAATTGAAAGTGAATGGTTATGGTTGTTCTGCTGCTGTTTAGTTCGTTCAGAAAGGAACAAAAAACAAAATCTCAAAAAGTAACGTGATGTTCTGTATATTGATTAAACCGTATCGATTAACAAAAGTTACTGTAGTTCATAATCGCGTCGATGCGAACCGGTAACCCGCCTCTGAATTTCGATTTGGACCGGTAGTTTTAAAGACTGAGAGATAGCCACAAAAATGTTTCCGGTTTTTACAAACCATAAAACTGAACCGGAAATTGGGAGCCACGAAAAATTAGGGTCGCCTGCTTTCTTCTTCTCGACATCGTCATTTTAACATCGGAGGAATCTTCAGTACCTGAGAAAGTAAACAATGGCGGCAGTCAGAACGATGACGAACATGATTCTACGCGAGTTTATCCATCATCCACTTCTCATTCAATCTTCATCGAAATCGTGTCAATCTCTTTTACCATGCCTCCGTCTCACTCCCCGAATTGCTCCAATCCACTCTATTTCCCGATTCGGATCCGTCCGATGTGCGGCGTCGACCTCCGGAGGAAGCGGTGGTGATCGGAAAGTTTCGTCACGGTTGTCGCAGGTTCAGCAGATGCTTCATGAGGCGGAGGAGAGAGCTACTTCCGCTGGCAATGAGCCTACTCCTCAGATCACTCTAGGTTTGCTCTTTTTGCTTTAATCCATTTATAAAGATTAGTTTTGATGAAGAACTCTACTTTCTGATGATGACTCTTGAACGATATAGAGAACTGAGTTTAAGTCTTCAAAGCCAAGCCAAATGATTCATCTGTATACACTTAACTCAAATTCAATCACTTTAGACAAGATTTAAAGCTCATTTACAAGAAAGGGATGGTTCAATTTTGTGGAAACTTGGTGAATATCTATGGTTCTTGAGTTTGATTTGTATCTGTGTTTGGTATTTGTAGACCATGTTACACTTAACTTTGCTAGAAGCGGTGGTCCTGGAGGCCAGAATGTGAACAAATGTACGTGTTACCTTTTTCTCATGCCCTTTACTGTTCTTTGCATTGTGGTTTTTAGGATACTTGGTTTGGATGTATCAATTGCTTATAATCTACTTCATATGTACCAATTCATTTTCAGTGAATACCAAAGTCGATATGCGCTTCAATGTGAAAAACGCCTACTGGCTAAGTGACAGGATTAGAGAGAAAATCTTACAGATGGTTTGTTATTACTCTATTATCATCCTTCTACAAAACAATGAATATGAGTTTTTATCTCTATCTCTGATCTTGTAAGGTTCTCAAAATTTACAAGTAGAATGGAGTCTTTAAGCGTTTTGTGTAAATAAACAGGAGAAGAATCGGATCAACAAGGATGGTGAACTTGTAATATCGTCAACGAAAACCAGAACGCAGAAGTCAGTAACCTAATCGTCGTCTCTTTCCTATTCACTTTTCAAGAAATTACCCATATCTGACAGTATGTGTTCTCTGCAGAGGCAACATCGACGATGCACTTGAGAAACTACAGGTAATACCTACCAACTGACTCTATTGAATACACAGTGTTGGTCATAGTTTGTTTCGTTCTATATAAAGCCGATTTGCTTTGGTTAACTCATATGAACAGGCAATAATTGAAGCGGCTTCATATGTTCCACCTCCACCTTCAGAAGAACAGAAGAAGAAAATTGTAAAGATGTCAGTTCAGCCTAAACCAATTCCTCTTTTTGATAGTTCCATCATTTTCACTGAATCCTCGAATCTTGACGCTGTAACTTCTGACATTTTCAGGGCTGCGAAAGCTGACAATAAGCGACTTAAAAGCAAGAAAGTTCTTTCTGACAAGAAATCTGCGAGAAGAAGCCGCGGTAGTTATGATGATTAAACTTAAACCATACAATAGAGTCAAGGGTGATTCCAAAGCTTTTTAACTTAGATGATTATGTCATTTTTCTTGATGTATTTAAGGTAACACAACAATCAAATCTTCCAATAAAAATTGCAGTATATTGGATTTTTATGTACAAACCACTCTTATACAAATTATAACCAAAGAAAGTATCAAACATAACATTCCACACTTTTTGCTTTTACTTTCGAATAACATGTTCTTCACCTGATCTTTGATCAATATGCTTGATCCATTTTCTTTTGTTGTTGTTATCACCCTTCCCAGAGCTTCTTGCTGCGGCAACATGAGCGATTTCTAGACCACCGGAAACCGGAAGAGTAACCGTTCTCACAACTTTCCGGTCACTAAACGCTTTTGTCCAACTGAAACACGAAGTGCTTCTTCGGTAACCGCTTCTGCAGACCACAACCGCTCCTCTGCTTCCAAACGCAGCGTTTCTCAATACATTTGCTGCGAAATCCTTCTGATCCCAGTCAACTACCAAGAAATCAATCGCTTGTAGCATCTGCATCGTGTGCTCCAACTCTTCTTCCTCCTCGTTCAGAATGATCGTCTCCGGCAAGTTTGAGCAAGATTGTTCTGTCATGGCTTGAAGATAAGCAGCTTGTGATCTTGCGTTTGGTACAATACAAATGTGTCTTGCGTTTGTGTGCTGACTCGCTACGTTTAAGCCAATGCTTATGGCTATGGTTTCTCCTTCTGACCATGTTTCCACTATCAGAGTCGAGTTCCATCCCGCCGCCATCGCAGCCACTAGCTCCGCTGCTCCCGGTGTTCCAAGATTCTCGCACTGCACAAAAATGTAACCCAAAAATCAAAACAACGGGACAGAACGTGTAAAGATCAAATCGTCCTTTTCTTTATTTAAAGAAACTCAAATCAAATCCTTTTGTCTTGAAATCTCAAACTATAAGACGTGCAAAGATCAAAACAATTGGGTTTTTTTTAAGAAATGGCTGAAAAGATAAGAAGAAGCTATAACTTTTGTGAAAGAGTAAAGATTTTTCGATCTTTCTTTAGAAAAATCATCATTTAGAAAACGTTACAAAACTCTTTGGGAGTCAATAGTGAAACAGAAGATATGATGGACTTACAGATTTAACGGTGTCGATGTAAGCCTTTGATGCAGTTTCAGGTGACCAAATCAATTTCATCTTTATTTGCTTTGTTCTTTGTTTTGTTCTCTAACGTCTTCGTTGGGTCAGAGAGACAGAAGTCTAGCGTAAAACCTCCAAATGATGTTTCTGCTTTTATAAACAACAACATGAGTTGAGATGAGAACATACCTACGAAAAGTCTTTGCCTTAAAGATATTTTATTGATTTCATTTGGGGGAAAAAGTGTTTGCGCGTAACAGTCGACATTGGCCCTTATACTTTTGGTTCTTTTCGTTTTAGCACAAATATTATGGAACTTACTCACTTACCACAAATTAAACTTACCTAGATGCCTATTTAGAGAACAAAAAAAAAAAAACTCATGGTGTGATATAATGGTGAAATTAAGTATCTCATTGTGAGTTTAATGATGGCTGCTCGACTCAACTAATCAATATATTTTTATGAGTTATTTTTAACAATTTGACTATGATAAATTGCTAAAATATAGATATGCTAATTACAAGTTTCGCGAATTTGTTTGAATTTTTGATTACCAAAAATAATATATAAGCTATAAGGCTTTTACTTTTGTTTTTACAGCAGATCCTATATTAAAATCTAAATGAATTTCAACAACTAAAATTGTTCGATGATGGTTAGTATAATAACCTTTTCATTTTTTATATTTGAAAATGTGATGCTATTTTTAAAAATGTCCATCAAAATTTTACAGTTCTTGTATATTTGAACAATGATTTTTGCTAAATTGAAGAACACATCAAACAAAAGTTTGTTTTTGACTTGTAGTTAAGTGTGAAGTAGGACCAAAAAAATATTTGATACAGAATGGAAGATAATATGAGAGGTTAATCTATAAAACATCATAAAACGAGGGGTCTATACCCAATTTATTCCAAAGATGATTTATTCTCTGTTTCTTTTCTGAAAAGATAGATATATGTATTTGTTAGATCGTTGACATTAACATTATTTTGTCCCAGTAGAATCCGACGTGTGAGAGTTTTGGATTTGGATTATAATGAAAAGATTAAACTACTTAATTAATCGTTTAATTTATAGTAAGTAAGTCCAAACCGGCTTAACTATATATAACAAACAACATTATGATTGTCCATTGCTTTAATACAAAAGTTACTAACTAAATATCCCTGATTGAATTATTCCACGAACTAAGCAGGTTGGTTGGTGATTAATCTTTAATTTATTTCCGTGAAAAGGTTTGTTTTTCTTTTCTTAATTATATAGTTAGATGTTAGTTTAGTTAATAAGTTGAAATTTAAGTTAATGATAAAATTCCACCACCCACGTCCTTTATTGATAAAAAGCCAAAAATCAGACCGATTCTTCCGTTAATGGTTTTAGACATATATATATATATGTTTGGATTTGGTCGGCAACTAGTTTTGGACATTTTATTTGCTAAAGAATCAATAAAAGTTTATCGTATTCATACATGCACAACGTGTAAAACACATGTATATATATGGATTTTAAGTTTTGATTAGAGGAAAAAAAAAGAAAAATGGGTCAGGGTAATTATACTCAAATTGGAATAAACAACATCATACTAAACGTCACATATATATTTTCATTGATAGGTCGGTTTAATATTTTAACAAAACTTTCAAGATCTATAAAAACTAGGAATTATTTGGGAAAATCATCTGAGAGCACGTACGTTACGTTGAAGAAATCTTACCAAATATGAGAGATGTATATCTATTATACGTGTACATATATAGTATACACACACACACAAGCAAACGTGGTCAATGTATTATATAAAAATATACGTGCACATATTACAAAACACACAGATATGAACTCAAATAAAAACAGCTAGTTCTACTTGGTCGTACTTATTGTTGGTGTAAGATGATGTTGCATTCCCATTAAGATATTATTGTTGGATGTTTTTCATTTTGATATTTTCCGATATGGAGATACAGTACTGTACACAATACTTCTATAGTCTCGTGTCGTGAGGTCTCTTTATATTACGTAAAAGTTCTAGACTTTTTTTTTTTTTTTTTGTTAAAAGGCATTCAAAAGTTCTAGACTTCTAGTGTTCAGTTAATGTGTTTTCTTAATCATCAACCTAATATATATTGGAGGAAACTTTAGTAGTAGAATAGTTACTCTTGTCTAGCAAACAAAGTATAAAAAAACAAATATCTCAAACTCAAACACGTGAAATAATTCGATATTCTTATGCTTTTCTATCACATGATGATGATGATGATGAGAGATGATAAATATTGTGCCATTTCTAGTAATACCAAATGTAATTTGTTCCCCATAAACCAATCCTAATAATAAATGGGGTTGAGGGGTCACAAAAGAAGAATTGTTTTGTTCTCTTTGCTTTTGGAAAACGACTCTAAATGATGAGGTTTTGATTAACAGAATATTTTTTTATTAGGTTCATGTTCCCATTTTCTTTTTCCACTTTCTCAATTTCACTCTCGGAGGATAAAAAGAGAGTCTCTACATTTTTTGGGTTTCTTTAAGGCCCATTGGACTTATTTCAAACGCATTTTTTTGGTTCTTGTGTTGAGATTTTTTCTCACCTAGGTAGGTGTAACGTGTAAAACAGTAAAAGTGTCAACTTATTCACAAACGGTAACAAAATATAGACGTTAGAAGAAAAGTGTCAAGTCATTCACAAACGGTAATATATTTGAGACTCAAAAATTTACAACGGTAACAAAATATAGACGTTAGAGGTAAAGTAGCCGTTGAAAGAACAAATCCAAGCTGCCTATATAACTAAGTGATTCGTGCCCATAACACTACCACTACAAGAAAACATGGTGATTTCCTTCGAAAATTCCTACAAAATTTTAGGAAGGAAATATTTCCTACCAAAACACTTCGTATTTATTACAAAAACAACAACGGGTAGGAAAAAAGAAGGAAATTTACTACGAAAACGCGTGTCAGAAAGTGGAAGGAAACTTTCCTACCAAATTCATATAAATATTATTTTCGTAGGAAATTTTGAAGGAAACGGAGAAGAATAGTGTAGGAAAAAGCGCGGATGGAATTTGGTAGGAATTTTTCCTACCAAATACCTTCAGGTATAGGTTTGTAGGTAACTGCGTAGGAAAACGGAAGAGAAAATCAAGGAAAATATTTTGTAAGAAAATAGAAGGATCGTTGATTTGTAGGAAATTTAGAGGAAAACTTGTTTGTAAGATATTAGTAGGAAATTAGAAGGTTCTGATAATCATAATCTTTGGTAATCATAATTATAAAGTTTTCTTCGATAATCATAATTTTTGGTTTATGATTAGGAAATTAAAAATTGCTTTCTAAAAGATCATAAATGTTCAAAATTAAAAAACATTGCTTTCTAAAACTATTATAATCTTAACTTTCATTTATAATCCCACACATTTACAGTAAAATTTAAAAATTATATTTAATTTTCAATTTTCTAAAACTTTTATAATCTTAATTTTCATTCCTAATCCCACACATATTTTTTTTGGTAATCCCTAATCCCACACATTTAAAGTAAACTTAATTTACGATCTCAATTTTTAAAATATGATTGTATCTTGAGAATTGTATCTTACCTCTACGTGTTGAAATATGATTGGTTTGAGTGAAAGAAAAAAACTTGCAAAAGCGTTCTTTTCCGACAAAACAAAAAAACAAAACTCTCTCTTTTGTTTTGTCGGTCTCTCTCTTTCTCTCTTGTTCTCTCAGCCAAACTGATCAATTTCAATCTCTTCATCTGTTTCCATCGATCTCTCTCTCTCTCGATCAGCCAAGAGAAGAAACTCTCTCTCGATCTCTCTCTCGATCTCTCTCTCGTTCTATTTCTCGATTTCTCTCTATGGATTTCTCGATCTCTCAATGAATTTCTCGATCTGTCTCTCTCTCGAGCGCCAGAGGCTCTATTTCTCGATCTCTCTCTCTCGAGCGCCACAGACGATCGCTGTGCTAATAATCTCGTCTCTCACTCGTCACCGAATGATTTGTCAGCTTTGTTTCTTTGTAAAGGTAAATCTCTTTTCTTTAATGATTAAATCATGAATCGAGATGATTGACTTGTTTTTTCTCTTGTTAACGAATGGGTTTTGTTCTTGACATAGCAGCTTCTTCGCCTTGCCTTGACAAAGGAAGATTTGATTTGCGGAGTAGTGCAAGTGGGTGTGACTGTATCCAAGGTTGTGGCAGTGGCTGCCTTTGTGAAGCCAAGAATTCAGGTGAGTTTGCTTATGATTATCATGGGAAGTTAATAAGATTGAAACCATTGATACATGAATGTGGACCAGCATGTCAGTGCCCTCCAACTTGTCGAAACCGTGTGACTCAAAAGGGTTTGAAGAACAGACTAGAAGTGTTTAGGTCAGTGGAAACGGGTTGGGGAGTTCGGTCTTTGGATATATTACATGCTGGTGCTTTTATTTGTGAGTATGCTGGGGTTGCTTTGACAAGGGAACAAGCCAACATTCTGACAATGAACGGGTGATACAATGGTATATCCTGCTCGGGTGATCCAAATGTCATTGTCCAGTTAGTACTCCATGATCACAACAGTCTGATGTTCCCCAGAGTCGTGCTTTTCGCTGCAGAGAATATCCCTCCCATGACTGAGCTTAGCCTTGATTATGGAGTAGCTGATGATTGGACCGCCAAGCTTGCCATTTATAATTGGAAAATCTCCTTTTTAAATGATGGTTCTTAGCCATCTTTTTTCCAGGTAAAACTAAGTTAATAAGTCTTACCAAATAAGCCTTTAGTGTCATTCTAGTTAAACTTTGGAAGCACCAGTAAGAAACATTGAAAATGGGTCTTGTATATGTTTGCTTTCTCGAATAGCTCTATTGAAACATGTTGCACGTTGTATTGATTGTGAGAGAAATGCTGCATTGAGAAACATATCTTTTTGTTCAGTTGCTTCTGATTGGTATCAGTAGGGTGTGTGTATCTGATTTTTCTATTTTTGCTGAGTTTTAATTAGAAATCATTCTCTCGAGGAGTTGTTATAAAGTTAGAGACGACAAGGAAAGCAAGGAATAGTCTGTATTAATGTGCTCCATTAACATCAGAAGAGTTAACTACTGAATTCTTTATAATCTAGGAGTTTTTTTTGGTGGAGTAAGTTCTTGTTTACGGTCATGTCCTCTGTCTCATCTTCAGCTTCGTCGTTTTCTAAGGTTTGTGTTTAGGACTTATTCTATAGTTTAACATGATGTTTTTGATATTTTCATAATAGAAATTCAGCAAAACAAGCAAAGGTTATGAGAGACTTTCAATTATTGATGACTCTTTATGTTGAAGATTTACGATGGTTGCTTCATTATCTTTAGCATCATCGTATCATCATTTGATTGTTCTAGTATTCTTCTTTACATCTTTCCCGCTAAAATTCATGTTATACTTGCAGACATGCACATTATCATATTGGATTCTTCTGGTCATGTTGTTGATATGGAAGGATGATGGAAGGATGAGAGTTCTCGTTGGTATATCATCTACACAGATAACAATAGAGAAATTCTAAACCAACATGTAAGTGGATTTGACTTTTACATTTACAGCTCATGGTTTTTCATACAAAGTGCTTAGTGTTACACTCCCATTTACAAAGTCTTAACATATATTATCTATGTATCTTGTAAAAGCTTGTCGTCTTGGATCCCTTTGCATAAAGTTTATATCTTTGTTGCTGCTTTATATTAAACATTGTTCTCTAAACACTTGTAACTTGTGGTTGCATCTTACAATTAGAAGCTCCATAGGTTTGATGATAGCAAAAATGTTCTTTTTTTTGTTATTTTGCATATTCCGTGGCAAATGATTTAAGAAGATTCAAAGTTATTTTTTTGTACTTTTGAGTTTGGTTGTATTACATTTAAATATTGATTGTGTTACATTTCAAATTGGATTAATATATTCTTCTTTGCAATTTATTTTTTTTGGCAATTTTAAAAACTAGAATCGATTTAAATTGAATTATGTAATTTATTGAATATTTATTATTTCCTACCAAATACATTTGAAAGAATGTTGGAAGGTCATTTTTTGAAGGAAACCTGAAGGAAAATTTGTAGGAAACTGGAGTGAAATAATTCGTAGGAAATTGGAATGAATAAGGATTTTGTAGGAAAATAGAAGGAAACCTTTTGGTAGAAAATTCGAAGGAAAACGGTTCCTACGCATTATTGGAAGGAAAATGGTCAGAAATACCCTTCGCATTTCCTACGAAAATACTTACAAAATTTCTTTCGGCGCGTTTTTGGTAGGAAAATTTCCTACCAATATCTTACCATCATCGATTTCCTACGGGCGATTTCCTACCATTTTATTTGTAGGAATATCGTAAGAAACGGCCGTTTCCTACCATTTTTTCACGCAACTGTCCGTAGGAAATCGCTGTTTTTCTTGTAGTGTACTTCCCACTCATCATTTACTCTTCTTCTTCTTCAACTTGTGTACCATTCTCTCGTAGATTCAAAAGCAAAGGCTTGGCTATTTCATGTGTGTGAAGAAAAAAAACGAGAGAGAGAGCAAAGATTCTCATAGTCAAACTCGGTTTTAAGGGTTTGGTAAGTGTTATTTAGATGTTTCTCTATTTACTATGTTCTATGTTTTTGTTCTCTTCTATGTCAGTTTATTTAATTTTGTCTGAAATCATCTCTTCTCTGTTTTGCATGTTCTCTCGGCAAGGAAGTAACCAGAAGTCTTTAAGGTTTTTTTATCAAAGTTCTCTGCAACGAACGCAACGCAGCGTAGAAAAAAAAAAAAAAGAACAGTGGAGGATTCAGACTCTGCTTTTTAAGTTTGGTAAGAATCTAATACTTTCTCCTTTTCTGTTTGAGAAACCATCTAAGTATAAGGTTAATTATATTTTGTAACTGAAACATGTTAATGTTTTCTAAGAACATAGCTGATAAATTACAAAAGAGAGAGAGAGATGTTGTCGTTTCATGTATTTTTATGTTGCAAATCATCTGTGAGAATATTTCTGACATCTTAGAACAAATTACAGCAGGTACTAGAGAAAGAAGTTGTAAAGATGTGTCGCGCAGTCACGAGAAGCAGTCCGAGGAACTAAGGATCTTATCGTTGACAACTCCATATATATACAGCGTAATGGTCTTATCTCTCTTCTTCTGTTCATTGCTCTGTTGAAAAGCCAATATGATCGTAAACTCCTTTCGGTTTATACTTAAGATTTGGTGAGTTATATAGGTCGTTAGATTTTATAAGTTAAACTCTCTTATATCCATCAACTACTCGGACTTTTATATGTTAGCTAGGTCGTTCGTTTCAGTATTTCTGATTTGTTTTTTTGAAAATTGCTAGTAATCTTTGAATGCGTGCAAAAATGAGAGATTAATTTAGATTACAAGATAATTTGTTTAGCTTTTTCCGACAGAGTTTTGAATGTCAAGGTTGTTCTTGTTCTCTCACAGGCTTTATTACTTTGAGCTCAGTTCGGGCAATTGTTGCAGAAAAATAGTGACCACGCTCACTTTGTTGACATCTCTCCTCTGTAAAAGGGTTGCATCACTTTTGAACTTCTTCGATTTGTAAATCACTCAGGTTTGTTCTTTTTCTATCTATATAAGATGTTAAGTTTCTTAATAATAGCCATTACACTCATAATATATAGCTCTTACATATATTCACTTATCTTCCCTATGTTTTTGAACCTTATTACACACTTAACTGATATATTACACAATCCATTCTACACTTGCCTAGACATTAGTCGTCTTAATCAATAATCACATACTTGTTTCATATTCCAAATGACGCTCTATCTCTAATTTGTTTCCTTTGGAGGAACGGAATAATTAAAGGAAGATTAAAATGAAGCGTAGGATCGGCAATAGCGGCCTTGATTGGTTGTAGCTTTGGATTTTTGTCTCTAGATTTAGAGCTGTGTAATTTTTGGCTGTGACTGTAGATTTTATTGCGGCACGATATTGGGTGTAGGAATTATTTTTTTTAGAAAGCTGAAATATATGTGAAAAATGACTTTGTACCGCCAAAATCTTTCCTTAATTTTTTTCGGTTGTGAATCAAAAAAGGAAATACAAATTTTATAAAGTTTGATTGCTGGTTTATAGACGTTATCAAGTGGTCACGGACGAAGAAACAAAGTTTTACTATGAAAATATGATTTGATACCCAAAAAAATTAAGAGCCAGTTGCAGCTTTAGATTTATTTATTTTTTTGGAAGGTTCACTGCTAAATAGCCTTTATATTTTGTGCGACGGCTCTGTGACCAGACAAACCAATCCAATATATTTTTTTTACTGTCCGTAGTTAAAAAAAAGTGCTAGTGATAACATGAATTCATACTAAAAAAACTTATATTCAAAATTTAAAAATTATCTTCTGGACTTGGTTTGAATTTAGTGAAAATTATATAGTTTTTAGTTTTATAGTATTCTCAAAAAATACATAGTATGAAAAATAAAAATTAATAATAGTATTTAGGAAAAAATCAGTTTCAATGAAAATTTCCATATATAGATAAAACACTAATCTAGATAATGGGCTTGGTTATATAAGATGTTAAGTTTCTTAATAATAGCCATTACACTCATAATATATATAGCCCTTACATATATTCACTTATCTTCCCTATGTTTTTGAACCTTATTACACACTTAACTGATATTACACAATCCATTCTACACTTGCCTAGACATTAGTTGTCTTAATCAATAATCACATACTTGTTTCATATTCTACCAAATGACGCTCTATCTCTAATTTGTTTCCTTTCGCAGGAACGGAACAATTAAAGGAAGATTAAAATGAAGCGTAGGATCGGCAATACCGGCCTTGATTGGTTGTAGCTTTGGATTTTTGTCGCTAGATTTAGTGCAGTGTAATTTTTGGCTGTGACTGTAGATTTTATTGCGGCAGGATCTTGGGTGTAGGAATTATTTTTTTTAGAAAGCTGAAATATATGTGAAAAATGACTTTGTACTGCCATTCCTTAATTTTTTTTAGCTGTGAATCAAAAAAGGAAATACAAATTTTATAAAGTTTGATTGCTGGTTTATAGACGTTATCAAGTGGTCACAGAGCCAACCTTAACCACGGACGAAGAAACAAAGTTTTACTATGAAAATATGATTTGACACCCAAAAAAATATTAAGAGCCAGTTGCAGCTTTAGATTCATTGCAGCTTTAGATTCATTGCAGCTTTAGATTTATTTATTTTTTTGGAAGGTTCACTGCTAAATCGGCCATACTGTTGGACTTATAGCCTTTATATTTTGTGTGACGGCTCTGTGACCAGACAATTAACCAATTCAATACATTTTTTTTACTGTCCGGAGTTAAAAAAAAGTGCTAGTGATAACATGAATTCATACTAAAAAAACGTATTTTCAAAATTTAAAAATTATCTTCTGGACTTGGTTTGAATTTAGTGAAAATTATATAGTTTTTAGTTTTATAGTATTCTCAAAAAATACATAGTATGAAAAATAAAAATTAAAAATAGTATTTAGAAAAAAATCAGTTTCAATGAAAATTTCCCTTATATATATATATAGATAAAGCACTAATCTAGATAATGGGCTTGGTTATGTAATTTTAGATTTTTTTGTGTAAATTTGAGATGGGACGTTAGATCTTATTGATTTCGTAGTAACAAAATTTTTGGAAAGCTTCAAATTATCATTTTTGGGAAAAAAAGTTTCCAAAGCTAAAAACTGAATTAAGGAAATATTTTATACCACCTCCAAAGAGAGGTTCAAGGTGAATCTCGTAACTATAATATCATTAAAATTAAATTTTGATTTAAAAATCGGGTGTTAAAGATACTTGGGATATAAGCATTGGTTGTGCCAAAAAACACTTTTTTCTCTCTCTTTCTCTCTCCTCTCTCGGCATTCTTTCTTTCTATTTTTTTTCTTTTATTTAATTATAATTTATTAATAAAATATTTTTATGCAATTAAAGGCTGAGGGGAGATGCTCTTAACTCCGAGGGAAAAAAATCCAAAACATCTAAAACTTGATTGGATTTATTGAAAATCTTTAGAAAACTTTTTTGCTTCGTAAAACTTCTAAAGCGTTTGCCAAGTAATCTCAACGTGTTATTAAAAATAAATTTAGTAACATAGAAAGAAGATTTATGTCATCTTAAGGATAAAAAGGCAAATCTCAGGTTTATATGATTAGAAATTTGGCATAATTTGTGTGTAACATTGGCAAATCTCAGCTCTATCTCTCCCACTATTTTGCCAGAGTTATTTACTTTATTTTGTCTAAAATTTTAAATTACAAGAACAAGTGAACAACATATAAGGAAAATAGTAAATGGGCCAGGCCCATTCAACAAAAATTGTATTCGAACGACCGCCGTATTACTATTCCTTCTGGCTAAAACCGCGGAAAGGTATATACTTCGGTAGACTCCGTCCGTCACTCGCACTGTCCACACACAGAGAATAAGAGCCATGTCAACAGATACTAAAGAAACCCGAACCGAAACTAAACCCGATGACCCGGAAACCCAACCTAACCTGGATCTACCCGCTGAAGAACCTCTCGGTAAGCTTACCGCCGACGATGAAAACGACGTCGTTTCTGATGCTTCTGCGACGGAGACTGACATCTCGCTCTCCCCGAGTCAGTCGGAGCAAAACCCTGAAGAAGACGGCCGAAACTCACTCGATGACCAGTCGCCGTTGACGGAGCTTCAATCTCAGCCTCTTCCTCCTCCTCCTCCTCCACTACCGCCTCCAGTTACAGAAACACGAGTCTCAGAATCACTCGGTGAGGAAGAATCTTCCGATCTAGTAATGGAGCAACAATCGCAAAACCCTAATGCGCCGGAGCCTAATCCTAGGGCAAGGAAACGACGCCGTAGAAAGCGTTTCTTCACTGAGGTAAACTCGAACCCAGCTTTCTCAAGAAACCGCCGCACTAGCGTCGGCAAAGAGGTGGATTCAGAAGCCCTTATCGCAATGTCGGTAGGGTTTCCGGTTAATTCGCTCACGGAGGAAGAAATCGAAGCTAATGTGGTTTCGATCATTGGAGGTAAAGATCAGGCGAACTACATCGTTGTGAGGAATCACATTATTGCTCTGTGGCGTTCTAATGTATCGAATTGGTTAACGCGAGATCATGCCCTTGAGTCTATACGTGCGGAACACAAAAACTTAGTTGATACGGCTTATAATTTCCTTCTTGAGCATGGTTATATTAATTTTGGGCTTGCTCCGGTTATTAAAGAGGCGAAATTGAGGTCCTTTGATGGTGTTGAGCCGCCTAATGTTGTGGTTGTTGGGGCTGGTTTAGCTGGTTTGGTCGCTGCTAGACAATTGTTGTCAATGGGGTTTAGGGTATTGGTTCTTGAAGGTAGAGACAGACCGGGTGGGCGGGTTAAGACTCGAAAAATGAAAGGTGGTGATGGTGTTGAGGCAATGGCTGATGTTGGTGGAAGTGTTCTCACTGGAATTAATGGGAATCCGCTTGGGGTTTTGGCGAGGCAACTCGGTTTGCCTCTTCATAAGGTTAGAGATATTTGCCCTCTGTATCTCCCTAGTGGGGAACTTGTTGATGTTGGTATTGATTCTAAGATTGAGGCGTCGTTTAATAAGTTGTTAGATAGAGTTTGTAAGCTTAGACAGTCGATGATAGAGGAGAACAAATCAGTAGATGTGCCGTTGGGAGAAGCGCTTGAAACATTTCGATTGGTATATGGGGTTGCCGAGGATCAGCAAGAGAGAATGCTCTTAGATTGGCATTTAGCAAACTTGGAATATGCAAATGCTACATTGTTGGGGAATCTGTCAATGGCGTATTGGGATCAAGATGATCCGTATGAGATGGGTGGTGATCATTGTTTTATCCCAGGTGGGAACGAGATATTTGTACATGCTTTGGCGGAAAATCTTCCAATTTTCTATGGGAACACTGTTGAGAGCATCAGATATGGAAGCAACGGGGTTCTGGTTTATACGGGTGACAAAGAGTTCCACTGTGATATGGCTCTTTGCACAGTTCCGCTAGGTGTTCTGAAGAAAGGTGCTATCGAGTTTCATCCCGAGCTTCCTCAGAAGAAGAACGAAGCAATCCAGAGACTGGGGTATGGATTGTTGAACAAAGTAGCAATGTTGTTTCCACATAACTTTTGGGGCGAAGAGATCGATACTTTTGGGCGATTAACCGAAGATTCGAACACAAGAGGAGAATTCTTCTTATTTTACAGCTACTCTTCAGTCTCCGGTGGACCATTACTTGTAGCACTTGTAGCTGGAGACGCAGCAGAAAAATTTGAGACATTGTCACCTACTGATTCCGTTAAACGAGTCTTGCAGATACTACGTGGAATATACCATCCGAAAGGAATCGTTGTTCCTGATCCGGTTCAAGCCCTCTGTTCCAGATGGGGCCAAGACAAGTTTTCATATGGTTCTTACTCGTATGTTGCGGTCGGATCATCAGGAGATGATTATGACATTTTGGCTGAGAGTGTTGGTGACGGAAGAGTGTTCTTTGCAGGTGAAGCTACTAACAGACAGTATCCAGCTACAATGCACGGAGCCTTCTTAAGTGGAATGAGAGAAGCAGCAAACATACTTAGAGTTGCTAGAAGAAGAATATCATCGTCGGCTTCAAATCCTAACCAGACCTGCATCGACAAAGAAGAAGAGCCAGAGAAAGAAGAAGAGGCAATGAAAGAAGAAGAAGAAGAAGAAGAAGAAGAAGAAGACAGCTGCTTGGAACAGTTATTCGAGACACCCGATCTGTCATTCGGGAATTTCTCGGTGTTGTTTACTCCGAATTCGGATGAACCGGAATCCATGTCATTGTTGAGAGTGAGGATCCAAATGGAGGAGAAACTCGAATCGGGTGTTTGGCTTTACGGTTTAGTGACAAGGAAACAAGCGTTCGAGCTTAGTGAACTGGACGGAGATGAGTTGAGAATTGAGTACTTGCGTGAAAAGTTAGGGCTTATTCCCGTGGAAAGGAAGAGTCTTTCTCAAGAAGGGGAATCGATGATCTCTTCACTCAAAGCTGCCAGATTGAATAGACAGATCTTTGATTAGTAGTCAAACAGATTTAGACTGAAATTAACAAACACTGGATTTTTCCTTACTTTGTTGTATATAAATTGTCTCGTGTTATCGGTTTAATTGGTATCGGTTCATTCGTAATTAAACCGAGATAACTGAACCATGGATTTTGTAAGACGATGTATTCTCATTTCTCTCTCTCTCGTGAAAAAAAGCAAAGAGAGTAGTATTTGGATTTCTCCACAAAGGATCAGAGCGACTCGAATCAAAGATGGGCAAAGATGGTTTGAGCGACGACCAAGTCTCATCAATGAAGGAAGCGTTCATGCTATTCGACACAGACGGCGACGGCAAAATCGCGCCGTCGGAGCTCGGAATCCTGATGCGATCACTCGGCGGCAATCCCACGGAATCACAGCTCAAATCGATCATCGCGACTGAGAGCCTCTCGTCTCCGTTCGATTTCAATCGATTCCTCGATCTAATGGCGAAACATCTGAAAACAGAGCCGTTCGATCGCCAGCTTCGTGATGCCTTCAAGGTGCTGGACAAAGAAAGTACTGGATTCGTGGCTGTAGCGGATCTGAGGCATATACTTACGAGTATCGGTGAGAAATTGCAGCCGAGTGAGTTTGATGAGTGGATCAAAGAGGTCGATGTTGGATCTGATGGTAAGATCCGGTATGAGGATTTTATTGCTAGGATGGTTGCTAAGTGAGATCTATCTAAGTCTCTAATTTGAATTTTGGAATTATACATTACTCTCTTTGATTGTTTCGAATGATGATGATGATGACTTGAGAGCGAGTCTTAGGGTTTGTTTCTGAAATGTTTGATTGTTAATGTAATTGGGAATTGGTGTTAGATTCTATTCCCCAGAATATGGTAAATCTCTTTATCTTTTTACGGTTTCTGATAATTTAATTGAGTTGGATTAAGCTGTGTTATTGAAAAGATGGTTCCTTTTTTATATCGAATTGCTTCAACTTAAGCCTTCATCATGTGCTGCATCAAATCGTTGCTCTTTGAGCTTGATTTTGGGTTGTTGTATAAGTAAGCAAGGTCATCGTCTTGTTGGTTTTCTTAGTGTCGTGGAACTTAGTATGATTGTTTTGTTAGGAACAAGGGATCTTTGGTATTAGAGATGTTGCCTTTGATCTTTGGAATGAATGGTCTAATAGTCATGTGCTTGTTGAGATTTCATGAAAGGATCATAAACTTGATGAACATAGATTATTAGGAAGAAAGTGTCTCTCTTTTTCTTCAATTTTTAAGCAACAAGTGTCTGGACATCAAGTTCGTGGTGGTTGGTGGGTTGGGTCAAGCTCGTTAAGGTTTGTTTAGGTGAAATGCTGATAAGATAACTTATCTCTGTGTTAGCATCAAGAGGGATTATTTTCGTGTTTCAATAGGTTGGATTTTAAAATACAACTTGTTTTTGGTTCGGTTCAAGGATCCAGGACTTTACTTGTTAGAACTTGGAACCCAAAAGGGCAGCATGGTTTGTAAACAATTAGAAGTTGAAAGAGCTACAAAACCATTAGAAAATTTATAGAAGCAAGTAGCATAGAGAAGTGTGGTAAATTGAAAATGAACCTATATTATGAGGTGGATGTAATGGGAATGGAAAGCGAGATCTCGAGGTGTGGTATTTTACAAAAAGACAGATGTAACAGTGGACCATAGTGAGCACGAGCGAGGACACATGTTAACATAGTGCGGTGGCTAGTCTACGTAGCTGAGCTTTATGGGTCTACCATTCACTTAGTTTTTTCTTTCTTTGGTGAGTTTAAATCAGGTCCACACCCAAACAAGGAAAAGAAAAAGGAGTGAACCATAGAATTTATTTATGTAGAAGTATATATAAATTGTAAACTGTATAATAGTATCATTAGAGATTTAGGAGGTAGAGATTAGAGAGATCTTTTGGGATTAAAAAAAGGGTATATCTATCTAGTATTGTACTCCCATGATCTCCACGTTTATGCTGCAACTTTCACGTAAGCATTGAATCAGATTTTAATATTCAAGAAATCAAACTAGCTAATTAGTTTTTAAATACAATACTAGATAAACGTCTCTGACCATCTACGTTGTCACTTGATTAAAAATTCAGAAAACCAATAAGAAAAGATCTTTAGAGATGCCATCAAACTTACACAGTCTCATTAATTACTTTGGTAAACTCTATACATCATCACATGGTTGGAGATAATATAGAAAATAGTTTCACAGATGCGATCGTACTTACACTAGTGAATATAAACACTTCGTTACAATTTAATTACGTTGATCTCACAAACTCTAAGCTTAATTAAGAGTAGTTTCGTCTTGTGACTGGTGACTTGTGTGAAGTTCTAAGATCACGTAGTCGAACCAAACTTAAACCAAAATAGTTTTGTGTGTGTGTGTTACATTAGTTTTCTTGCATTTGTAATGACATTAACAATTTATTATAGTCAAAAATAGCCTAAACTAATTGCATGGTTGACATAAATTAGTAAAATATATGATCTCATAGATGCAATCAAACTTTGGCCTTAAATTATTGTTTATTTTATATTATTAACATGTTGTTAAACTCGAATAAGTAATTATTTTTCTGTTCACTTAGCTTTTATAAGTAAACTATGTTGAGAAAATTCAAAAGCTCTCACTCAAACGATGGCTGAACCATCTTTTGCTCGTCTCTCTCTCTTGTTCTTCGGGTTTCTCCTTACCTTCGCCACCTATTCTTGGGTCTTTGGACCAGACTCAGGCTTCTTGTTCGGTACCCGAGTCAAGAAAACTCTCCGGTCGGATCCTAGGGTCCGGTTTGACCATTCTACCGAGAAGCCTCATCATCCACTTGATCCACTAACGGTGCGAGAAATCGAGAGAGTCAGAACCGTACTCTCGGGTTATGACCCGGGTTTTGGTACCGGGTCGGCCACGGTTCACTCCATGGCTCTCGATGAGCCGGACAAGACACGTGTAGTCCAGTGGAAGAAGGGAAACAAGCTTCCATCAAGAAGAGCTGCGGTGGTAGCGTATTGGGGTGGTCAAACGCATGAGATAACGGTGGATCTTGATTCGGGTCGGGTCGTTTCTGATTTGGTTAACCCGACTTCAGGGTACCCGATTCTCACCGTGAACGACGTCTACGCTGCTGCGCAGGTATCATCAATCGTTTTCTTGAAAAATTATTCCGGTTTAGCTTAGTGGTTTTGATTCGGTTCACTTCCTGACCAACACGTAGAAATGTTACAATGCACAGAAAAAACAAACAAAACTATGGATAGATCTTGTTTGGTTAGTAGTGGGTATCACTTCTTTATTAGTTTTATTTTATTTTTCTTCTTTCAGTTCAGTGATTATTATGTGGATATCCAAAAAGTGAATCGACTTTAACCATAATTAGACTTAACTTAATTAATTACTATTTCTCTAATGAATTTTTAAGTCTCAGGTTCTGTTCTTTTTTTTTGCTTTGGTACAAAACTATATTTGGTCTATAACACTTTAATAACGTTTGTCAACAACAACATTGGCAGGTACCTTTGAAGAGCGTCGAGTTCAACCGTTCGATCGAAGCACGCGGGGTTAAGTTTTCAGATTTAGTTTGCATCACGCCGTTCGCGGGATGGTTTGGACCGGAGGAAGAAGGACGTAGAGTCATAAGAGTCCAATGTTACACGTTACAAGGCACTACGAACTATTTCATGAGACCACTCGAAGGTCTTCATGTAACGGTCGATCTAGACAAATTGGAGGTTATCAAGATCGTTGACAAAGGTCCAATTACTATTCCCAAAGCCTCCGGTACTGAATACCGGTTTGGTGTTCATAATAAACCGGTGCATATGGATCGAGTTAACCCGATTTCGATGGAGCAACCGGATGGTCCGAGTTTTAGAGTCGAAGATGGACATTTGGTTAAGTGGGCTAATTGGGAATTCCATATTAAAGCTGACCAACGAGCCGGTATGATCATATCTCAGGCCACGGTTCGTGACTCCGAGACAGGTATATATAACCACACCATAAACTCAATATGTCGTTATGTCACTATGACAATATCATTTTTGTAAATTAACATAGAGAAGTAACAACTCTTGATGTATATATTTCTTTGTGGATAGAGCAGGTAAACCAAGAAGTGTGATGTACAAAGGATTCCCATCAGAGTTGTTCGTACCATACATGGACCCTGAAGAAGGATGGTACTACAAAGGTTATATGGATGCAGGCGAGATTGGTTTAGGACCAACAGCCATGCCGCTCGTGCCTCTCAACGATTGTCCTCGAAATGCTTACTATATAGACGGTGTTTTCGCCTCAGCTGATGGGAGACCCCTTGTTCAGCCTAATATGATATGCTTGTTTGAACGCTATGCAGGCGATATTAGTTGGAGGCATTCTGAGATATTATTCACCGACGCTGACGTAAGTACTCTTTGGTAATATTAGTTGGAGGCATTCTGAGATAGTATTTGGAACTAATAAGGTTGTAAATATGGTTTAGCTTTGTATGGGAATTAGTTTCTAAATTTAAGATTTAACAGGTAAGAGAGTCAAGGCCAAAAGTTACATTGGTCGCTCGAATGGCAACTACGGTTGGAAACTACGACTATATTTTTGATTGGGAGTTTCAAACTGATGGTTTGATCCGTGTTACGGTATGTCAAAACATTGTCTTTTTGTTTGGTTTTGTCTATGAATATTTCTCTTTATTGTCAAAATGTCAAGTGCTTACCTTATAATTTAATGCTATGTTAGGTGGCAGCTTCAGGGATGTTAATGGTGAAAGGAACACCTTACGAGAATGTAGATGATTTAGGTGATAAAGAGGACGACGCTGGACCGTTAATCTCTGAAAATGTTATTGGAGTGGTCCATGATCATTTCATAACGTTTCATCTAGACATGGACATTGATGGACCGGCGAATAATTCTTTGGTTAAGGTTCATCTAGAGAAAACGAGGGTTCCAAAGGGAAAATCGCCGAGGAAGAGTTACTTGAAGGTCAAGAAATATATAGCCAAGACTGAGAAAGATGCTCAGATCAAATTGAGCCTTTATGACCCATATGAATTCCACATTGTTAACCCGAACCGAAAATCTCGGGTAGGAAACCCGGCTGGTTACAGGATCATACCGGGTGGTAATGCAGCGAGTTTACTTGATCATGATGATCCTCCTCAAATTCGTGGTGCATTCACCAACAATCAGGTATTTAATCTTTAGGCTATGTTTTTTATATATGGAGATTCTGATTAGCTGAAATCTCGGTTTACGAGTTAATTTGTCGAAATGTTTTGGTTATTTTCGGTTCAGATATGGGTGACTCCGTATAACCGGTCAGAACAATATGCCGGGGGAGTTTTAATTTACCAAAGCCATGGTGATGACAACCTACAAGTTTGGTCAGACCGGTACGAAACTAACTAATGCACCATCCCAATTGAGTCATACCGTTTCTGATTAGAGTTGATTGGTTTAGTTGGAACATTTCTCTGATTATCTTTTGTTTTTGTGATGAAACAGGGACCGTCCGATCGAGAACAAGGACATAGTGTTGTGGTACACACTAGGGTTCCATCATGTACCTTGCCAAGAAGATTATCCGGTTATGCCAACCGTTGCGGCTAGCTTCGAGCTTAAACCGGCCAATTTCTTTGATTCCAATCCAATTCTTGGCGTCGCGCCTTTCTTCGACAAAGACTTACCGGTCTGTAAACCGTTTGCTTCATCTTGATCGGTTCGGGTCTCACACACATAGTTTTAGATCAGATCAAACCAACCAACACTTGTTGAAGTTTACTTACCGTTTTTGCAATAATACCAAAACGTTCAACATATGATTCTTAGAGAAGAAAGCCCATAATAAATGATATAAGAAATTTTTTATTTTGTTTCATTAACTAAATTAATTTTTAGTGTACTTTTCTTTAAAGTTTCATTTTTTTTTCTACAAACCCCATACACTAGTATATCGGAATTGATTCTCTTCAGGAGAGAACTAAACAGGGACCGATTGACCTACATGGAAAAAACAAAAACCTCGTGCCCTCGTACATTTCGCAAGTTTATCAGCACGGAAGTTCAACACTCTAGAAATAAGCATAATACTAAACTCGACAAAACTTTCCCGTAAAAAAGTGAAATCCTGAATTTCCGAAGCAAAGGCGGGCCAATCCACTCCTTGAACAAGCATAGTGACCAAATCCAAACAATTTGTCGCAAATATAACTTTGTCAAAAGGGTTTCTAACTCTGCGTGAAGAGGCGAAAGACTCCGTGGGGAACGTTTTAATCATAATAGGATCACTTGATCACCCACAGAGGCTATCCATCCATGCCCACAGCTTGACTCTTTCTCCAATGTAATCCTAAAGTTTCATACTTTCTACAATGTATTTGGTGGTACTGCATAAGTTTGATTGGACAAACAAAACAGAAAATATTGTTTTCTTCGGTGAAAGAGAAAGTCTCTCCAGATATTATTAAACTAAAAAAATAAATTTACAATCGAATAAAACGTGGACGTCCAACCCCATTTGCATCCTCCAATAAAATAAAATAAAAAAACCTAAATCCAAAGAAAAATATAGTTAGCTAACCTATCCGCAAACACAATTCGTTTTCTTATACACATACGTAACTTGGATATAAAGCTATGGCACAACCGTATCAGAAAAAAACATCGGATAATATTCAGTTATCTCTGTATAAAGAAAATCGACCACCAGTTCCGAATCTATCTCCAAATCCACCCGCCTAAAACCTCGTTCCCAAGCAATCACTAACCCATAATATGCTCCCCACAACTCCGCCATTGGTGCTAACTATGCTTAGAAACATTATTAAAGTATTAAACATTATGCTTAGAAATATTGTTGGTTAGAAACAAAAATGTATTAGACTGAAGTAATTAAAGTGACTAAACGATGTGACGAATTTAATCACAACTGTAATCATTATTAAACAAATAGCATTGATACACGTTTTATGATGAAAAATAAAAATTAACCTTATTTAAGAAAGTAGAAACTATGATTAGTATGGTTGGTGAACCTAATGATGCTTTAACTTTTCAACACTTTACTTCATAACAGCAGGAAGGATGTTTTGTTTTTGTCAAACTCATATCATCAACCGATTCAATCGTTTCACATGAGTTCCATCTTATCAAGCATCCTTCCTGCTCCCGAAGATCCCGTTCTCAGTGTACGTACTCTAAAGGCCTCTTCATTGATGCATACATACAAATTAAAGTTGTGTTTATGTTAATCTCTTTTCTTCTTCTAATATGATTATGGAAACAGCTTATTTTTGGTTTTAGAGATGACCCTAGTCCGGTTAAGTTGAATTTAGGCGCAGGTGCCTATCGGACTGAGGTAAATTTGTCAGATCTTCATAATCCTTATATGGTTAAGTTAATTAACCATTCTATGACCTCATGTTTTGATTAGTTTAGTCTTCTATTTGGCTAATTATTTTTTGTTTTTCTCCTTAAGGAAGGAAAGCCTCTTGTTCTTGATGTTGTAAGAAGAGCAGAGCAACATTTAGCTAACGACCTGTAAGTTAAATATTTCGTTAGATTAAAGCAACTTTTGTGTATATGAAAAATACTCAAATATTTTGAAATGTAACACAAACTCAAACGTAAGAAAAATGTAATTCTCCGAATCCATTTTTTTTTTTGGTTTTTTGTTCATCATTGTTTATCATTATTCTATTAGTCTTATTGAGTTTATGTTTTAGTTTTTTTTTTTCTGGTTTAAACCTCAAAGGTCGAAGAACAAGGAGTATCCACCCTTTAGTGGACTTCCTGATTTTAATATATTGAGTGCAAAGCTCATCTTAGGTGATGATAGGTAAATTATATATTCACACTGCTCTTTAAAAAAAAATTATGTTACAGTATTTTGTATTCTACTATAAGTCTACAAATATTGTATTTTTGTTTTTGTTTTTTTGGGCAGTCTTGCATTGAAAGAGAAAAGAGTTGTTACAGTCCAGTGTTTGTCTGGTACTGGTTCTTTGAGAGTTGGAGCTGAGTTTCTAGCAAAACACAACCAACAAGTAAATAGTTTCACTACTTCTTTCGCGTAATGGCTGTAACTTGCTTTTGAAGAACTATCAGAATTATTTTACACTGTTTGTTCCTTTTTGGATAATTGTGTTTCTCATCTTTTTACAGCTTACTGTGTTTCTTCCCATCCCAACTTGGGAAAATCATCTAAGTATTTTTACTATGGCGGGTTTATCTGTAAATCATTTCCGATATTATGACCCGAAAAGCCGAGGACTCGATTTCAAAGGTTGTCTTTGAAATTTCTGTCCAAAAAACTCTCTGTTTTTACATTGTAATTTACATTTTATCTTAGTTCTGTTTGTTCTCATTTTGATTACTGTTTGATTGACCCATTTACACCAAATTTTCACCAATTTTGTCAATATATATGACCCCAATATGTTAAGTGTATACCAGTCATTGTTCTAAGGGAAGACTTGATTTCAAACAGGCCTACTTGAGGATCTTGGCAGTGCACCGTCTGGAGCGATAGTGGTCTTGCAAGCTTGTGGGCATAACCCTACAGGAGTTGACCCAACACTCGAACAATGGGAACATATTAGGCAAATAGTGAGATCTAAAGGCTTGTTACCCTTCTTTGATAGTGCATATCAGGTAAAGTCATATATTTATAGTGCTAATAGCTATTTTTATCTTTAAAAGTGTTATTAATTTTCTATATTTATCGCCTTGTCATTGTGTGTATTCATCTTAATCTTAGGTAAAAAAACGCAACATGATTCATTATTTTCTCTTTAATTTTCTTAGGGTTTTGCTAGTGGTAGCCTTGACTTAGATGCACAAGCGGTTCGTATGTTTGTTGCTGATGGAGGTGAATGTTTGATAGCTCAAAGTTATTCCAAAAATTTGGGTCTCTATGGGGAGCGTATTGGCGCTCTTAACATTGTAAGCAACTAAACTTCTCTGTTTCATTTGTCACTAAAATGTGAATGAAACAACATCGGACCATACTATAATCTTTGTGGGTCAAATGATATGAAGGTGTGCGAGTCAGAAAATGTGGCTAGGATAGTTGAAAGCCAAGTGATACTTGTCGTGAGACCAATGTATCTCTGCCCACCTATCCATGGAGCATCCATTGTTACCACAATTCTTAAAGACAGGTACAAATGTCTTACATATATGAAGGAGTTAGAATCATCATTGATGTGTGGAAATACTTATTTATATAACATTGTTTGATCAGCTTCGTTCAAAGTTTCTGTAATACGTATTGGCAGTGATATGTACAAGGACTGGACCATTGAGCTGAAAGGAATGGCTGACCGCATAATAAGCATGCGTCAACAGTTATATGAAGCCATAAAGGCTAGAGGTTGGTTGGTTTGATGTATTTTTTTTTTTTTTGTTCCTTAGTTTTTATATTTATTTTGTTAATCTTCTCTCAGATTTGAATCATTTCATAAGTTTTGCTCAGGCACACCTGGCGATTGGAGTCACATTGTTAAACATATTGGAATGTTTACTTTTACCGGATTGAATGAGGAGCAAGTTCGCTTCATTGCCAAAGAATATCACATTTACATGACTTATGACGGGTAAGCTAAGGGAATGAGAATTAAATAGCAAAGTATATAGTTTAATCTTTTAGTTAAGAGAAATATTATGAAAAGTATATATATTTAGGCCTTTGATGACAATACATGATAGTTATAGAACTTAAAAAAAACATATATGTTTATAGAAATAACATCTCTAACATATGAACGGAATATAAATGAAAATATGACATTTGACTTATTTCTTTTTGCAATTTTGGAAAAGGAATATTTGCTCTTTTTTTTTTCAAATTTTCAAAGAATATAATTCTTTTTCCATTTAAGTTCATTGTAAATACTTGAAAAGTAGGCTATAGATATTGATTTATTTTTGTCTCATAGTCTTATAGTGGGCTACATGCATAACCACTATTCAAAGTCCCGAATGGGAATGACTTGAAGCATTTGATACCGTTGTTAAATTAGACCATTCACTCCAATCACATAAATTCAATTTTATTTATTTGTCTATTTTCATGAAAAACAAAACTTAGCTTCAAAAAATGTTTGTGGTTATTTGCAGGAGGATAAGCATGGCAAGTCTAAGTTCGAACACAGTGCCTCAACTCGCTGATGCTATACATGCTGCTGTTACTCGCATCTCCTACTAAGTTTGTGGTTCGTTCTTTGTTGTTCTTTGAACAACACAAGTTGTATTAAAACTTCGATATTGGTTCACATCAATTACATAAGAGAGCACTAAGAAATCACATATGATGGTTGATTCATATACAACAAACCAAGTTTGCAAAACAAAACTCATAAATCATACTCAAATTATAATAAATAGTATACGAACATGGGTGCCACTCACAACTCAAATGATGAATTATCAGATAATACATAACACGTGAACCAAAAATACTTTTATATATAATAAATCATTAAATAAGTTAAACCATAAGCAAACAAATCTCGAGAATTATTGAAGAAACAATAAACCGGGTTAAACAATCGGAAAACCGGGTAAATCCGGTTTAAGAGTTTCAGAAGAAGATGGATGAGATCAAAGACAAGACCACGGTGGTGGCTACTCCATAACCGGCGACCTTGTTTCCAGCTCCGGCGTCTTTCTTGGTATTACTTCCTGCTGAAATATTTACAAATCCAACATAAGACAAAATCCTTCAATTATAGAGATAAATTATTATAAATAATAGTACTGTATTAATCTAAAATTAATCTGACATGCATTTTTTTTTCTGGGTCAAAATCTGACAAGTGTTTATTTTTTATGGTTTTGTCTGATTTATATTCGAGACAAAAAAAAATAAAGTACACACGTCAAAGCTGGCATTCACACTCTGTTTATGTCTTTTTATATTTTTTATAGAAAAAAAAGCAGAGAGAAATCTAGGAAAATAATAAGTTTGATTCATTGAATCAAAACTGAATTGTTTTGACTTGACAGACTAATAATAACACATTTTGATTTGGTTAATAAAATCTCTATCGAATAACTCAATTAATACACAATCAAAGCGATTAGAAGCTACTTATAAAATTTAATTTTCAAAACTCGAAAAAATTAGGAAAGTAATTGTAAGGGAGACTAAAGGAGTGGGTGAAGAGTTTTGTTCATACCTGGAGGAGGTAAAGCAGCTTTTGGCGATGGAGCTCCTTTAGCTGAAAAAATTAAACAAAATCAAAACATAATTAACACTGAATTACCAAATTATATACATCTCAGATTCATTATCTTAACATCAAATATGTTTCCACTAATCAAAACTATGGCAATTATTTCTTAATCCACAGATCCATTACATGTAACCCTAGTGGTTTTTTTGTGCTAGTGTTACTGTTATAGAATAGGAGAGAGAGATCTGAGAAATATAAAAATTGCTTACTGTTACAAGCAGAGATATTAGTATCGACATCGCATCGACTGCTGAGACCAAGAGCTTGAGCAGTAGAGACATTGAACTGAGCGAGCAAACCAGGAGTTGTGTAGATGGTACATAGACAGCTAAGTTCTTTCTCAACAGCTTCTTCGATCGAGTCACAACAAACCTTGGACGGCTTCGTTGTTATGTTCAAGTAGCTGAAGCAAGGGACTAGCTTACTCACACACTCAGTCTGTGCTTCCACCATAGGCACCGAGACCAAAGCCATCACCGTCATCGCCGCCGCTAAGATCATCATCATCGCCTTCATCATTTCTTCTCTCTCTCTATGAGCTTTATCTTTCTTTTGGGTTACTTGTGAGTTTTGGTTTTGCTTTTGGTTATAAATATTTATAAACTTTGCTTAAGAAACCTTTCGCATTTTAACTTTTCTTTAATATATTAATAATAATCTTTATCTTTTTTTCTTGATAAGTTATGTCTCACATACTTCAACGAGAAGATTGTTTTTAGGTAATGTAATTAATTTTATTGAAAATGATGGTTATAATGTAATTGGTCGTCTTATCTAGATTCTAGGATGAGTCAGTCACGTTTTGTTTTTATTACTAAAATTTTCTTCAATTTGTAACCTATTCCTATATATGCTAATATCTTATATCTACCCAAAAAAAAAAAAAATCTGTAAAATAATTGTTGAAATTTCCTTGTAGCCACCAGTACGACGACTAGGTCAACCTGATCTACCTTTCAGATATATATCAAGAATTTATTTAACAAATGTTTTTCTTTCAGACAGAACAGAACATAATCTTAAAAAGTATAGTCAAGATCTGACCACACTTTTTAAACCAGCTCATTCCAGTTTTGTAGGACTAGTTCTAATTTGTTATTTTAATAAACATTCTTAATACTAATAAGCCCGCGAGTATTAATACGGGCCACGAAAAGGCCTTACAAGGATTGGGTTAATTGGGCCTTTGCACGGCTTGGAAAATCTAACACGTGGGCGAATTAAGATCGTTTCAACGGTTACGATTTGATCGAACGTCTCAAAAGCAATTGTAAATTCAACGGTCACAAATAGTCCCGCCATTAAAACAGATAAGAGAAGTAAAGTTAAAGAGATAACGTAGCTCATCCAAAAAAAAAGCAGAGCTCACTCCCAAAAAAATATAATCTAATGGCTACGCTTTCGTTTGGAATCGCCGCCGCCGCCGCAACCACCGTCCGTACAATTCCGAAGTTTAGTACAAGGAGGAGCAAAATCTCCTGCGAATGGGTAAAGATTTGATCATATATATAAAAAAAACTTATCTTTGAGATTAAATTTTCATGAAAAATTGATTCTTTTGTACTGATTAATATCGAAAGGAAGGATCCGAAAGGTGTGTTAGGTCCGCCACAAACTGGTCATATAGCTCGTCTTGAGTTTAAGCGTAGGCTAGAGAGAGATTCAGAAGCCAGAGAAGCTTTTCAGAAACAACTCCGTGAGGAGAAAGAGCGTCGTCAAGCTCTTCGACAAGTAAAAATCAGATCTTTTGTTGTTGTTTTTGTTGCAATTATAGTGATTTGGTTTTGAATTTTGATTGTTTTACTGATTTTTGTTTTTTGGGTTTTGTTAGTCTAGAGTTGTACCTGATACTGCGGCGGAGCTGATTGAGTACTTTCTTGATACTGAAGCTCAGGAGATCGAGACATGGGTGATAAATTCTAGTATTTGGGTGAATGAATTCTTGAATTTGAATGTTCTGTGTTCGATGAATTGTCTATGCAGAGATGTTTTTATGCTTTGCTTTCTTAAGTGAATCTGTTTTCGTCGAAATTATTGAAACTTGGGTGATAAAATTGCATTGAATTGTGTGTGTTTGATGAATTTTCCCTGTGAAGATGTTTTGGTGCTTCTATATTCGTCGAAATATTGAAACATGGGTGATAAATTCTAGTATTTGGGTGAATGAATTCTTGAATTTGAATGTTCTGTGTTCGATGAATTGTCTATGCAGAGATGTTTTGATGCTTTGCTTTCTTATGTGAAGATGTTTTCATTGAAATATTGAAACTTGGGTGGTTAATATGGGGATTGGAGATGTCACTATAGTTTGGTATGTTGCACGGTTTATTAGAAGACATAAATGAGCTCATGCTTACTGTAATTTTTTACAGGTTAAACGACGAATTCTTTGCGCAGATTCGACTTGAAATTGGGCAAATTCGGTTTGCTGTTACAAAGACTGCGGTAAGACTTGCTTCAAACAACATTTAATCGGTAATCGGTAATCGAATTCGACCACTTACCTTTTTGTTTGTGGCAAAATCATGTAGGAAAATGAAGACAGATTAGTCGAGCTTGAAACACTTCAAAAAGCTTTAGAAGAAGGAATAGGTTTGTGCCGCTTCTTTGCTTCATAGTTTAACTGACTCATCCATTGACTGGACTGATATTGCGGCTTCTGATTACTAATCTTGTTATGTTACTCTTGCAGAGGCGTATGACAAGATGCAAAATGAGCTTATGACTGCTACAAATAGCTTAACCAAGATCTTAACCTCAACCGATATAAAAACAACAGTACGTGACCTTAACCATAAACTCATAACCACTTGAGAGCTTCATGAGATGAATTTATGACATTGTTTTGATTATTTTATACAGTTGTTAGATATGGTGGAGAAAAACGAAATCAACAGATCTTTGTTGACACTTCTTGACGAAAACATAGCAAATGCATACAGAGGAAACCAGGTTAGTCTCCGGTTAACCTATTTGGTTTGATTGGTGTTAGGTTTTGGATAAACATTTTTTTCGAAGTAACCCCAAAGTATCAGTGCCAAAACATAAATGAACTTATAGTCGTATGAATTCAAATGTAAATTTTGCAGAAAGAAGCAGGAGATTACATGGAGAAGATACGTGCTTCGCTTCTAAAGTACTTGACAGTGTAGGAACATATATACGAGTCTTGGAAAGATTTACTTCCCAAGATTTCGAATGTAATTTTCTATTATATAATCGAGTAAAATGTATTTATATATTTGTTTTGTTGAGTAAAATGTATCTGTTTTTTTGCCAATGATGTTCTATATCTTTAGGGCCACTTCAAATCTTCCAAGTCATGATAATTTTGATGGGAAAATAACCCATATCAAATACAGTAATACTATGATACAAATTTGATTTTGCTATTGATATATGTAAATCTACTTTAGTAAGCTTTTTTTTCCTTCATTCATTGCATTGTCTGTTTAGTATGGGACCAAGTTTCGCTGTAACGATCAATTCTCTTTTATTTCGTAATAAAAGAAATAAAACAAACGAAATAAAAGAAATAAAACAAACTCCTTTTAATTATAAAGTTCTACTACTGTGGAAAATCAAATACATGAATAAAGTAGTATGCATGGGAACCTAGAAAGAGGAAAGAGGTGACATTTATGAAATTGAAAACTATTGGTTCCAACTTCCAAGCATGGCCCTTCGTTGTTATCTTTTGTTTCCACTGTGACATAGTTATCCTAATAATTATTATCCTTCACATGCATATGTTTTCTTTTTTTGGTTATATCTTTTGTGCTACGAACATGAGTTAAAAGACTATAGTAATAATATAGTCAAATCAAAAATGACTCAAGAAAATAAATAAAGAATCATGCCCACTTGTCTGTCGTCTTCTTTTAGCTACCGACGTACGGTTTTGGTCTTAGATTCTTCTTTTTTATCGGCGTTTACGAGTAGATTCACGTGAGTGTTTTTTTTTTTCTTTATTAGTCAACCATGATATGTAATTGTTCTTACAACCATGTAACCTTTGATATATAGATTCTTTTTTATAATCTACAAATTTTAATGTAATTTCTTGACAAGGCTAGATGGTGTATGAAAGGAATTGTCAATTCTAAATGAGTTTTCATTTCATGATAACAGTAATTAAAAGAATGATAGTAACTCTCCATACCTGTTTATGTTGACCAGAGACAAATAGAAGTTTAACTTTTAGGTAAAGAACTTCCCTGATTATTCGGATCAACGCTCATCCGTTTGCTGCAAATTTTATAGTAAACCAAAAAGAATACGTACGCATGAGACCATTGTCGTTTATATCCCATTATTATGATCTCTTCTGGATAAGCATCGCAAAATGAACACAATAATGCATCGGGGGAAAAGGTAACTAATTAAATACTACTACAAAAGTTGCAATTGCAATTTATACTTTAAACTATTGTCATTCAACTTATGGCATGTGGATATGTGTTAATCGTTAGATGACTCATCTTTAAACTATACTCTGCACATTAACACATGTAATTTACTTTTTTTAAAAGGATCATCAGTTCATCACCATGTAGAGCTAGATTTTCTCAGTGGGATTTTAACCAAAGTGATTGTAATATTTATATAAAAAGATTTATTTGTAAAGAAAAAAAAGTCTCTAGTTTGACCTAAATTAAAACCCTATATAAACAACACCTTCTTGTACACTTTCTCCTCACTTCACAAAAATACAAACAAAAGCTAGAGGGAGAAAAAACATTATGGAGCTGAAAAATAAAATCTTTCTTGTTCTACTTGTATCAATAACCATTCTCCAATCTTCATCCGCAAACCCAAGTCGCTCGGAACCAGACCGGTTCATTGTGTCGTCATGCCAAACCACACGGTATCCATTATTATGTGTGCATACACTCTCTGCTTACGCCACCAAGATCCGCCACAACAATGATCAAGATCTCGCCCAAACCGCTCTTACCATCAGCTTGGCTCGAGCCAAGTCTGTTTCTATCTTCGTCGCTAAACTAACCAAAGAGTACGCTTTTTAATTCTTTTTTAAACTAACCAAGATCGGTACTCTCTGGTTGCATCCACCAAACCAGAGTGTAAGAGTTTACAAAAGTTCTTCTCCTAACATTTTCTTCTTCATGTATATATATAGGACACCAAGATTCAAGCGTAGAGAATATTTAGCAATCAAAGATTGCATCGAAGTGTTAGGCAATAGCGTGGACCGGTTAGCTCAATCGGTTAAAGAACTAGGTCGAGCTGGCCATGCTGTGGCTAGTGAGGACTTCATGTGGAAGATGAGTAACGTTCAGACATGGGTCAGTGCTGCTTTGACTGACGAGACAACGTGTCTAGATGGGTTCTCGGATCGAGCTATGGGAGGCAAAGTGAAGAGGCTGATTCGGTTTAAAGTGGTTCACGTTGCTCAAGTCACTAGCAATGCTCTTGCTTTGGTTAATCAGTTTGCAGAGAAACGAAGTGTGAAGCTTCCCTAAATTGATGAGTTTTTGTTTCTTTATATGTGAAAATTTTGGTTTGTATGTGAAAGTTTGAATCTAAAAAAGTTGTATAAATTGTTATCTTTTTGTGTCGGTCGGAAAAGAAAACTAGAGAGATTGTGTAACGATCTTTGTAGTGTTCTGTATGATATTTTAATTTTAAGATAATTATATATACATATACTTCATATTGGCATATACTAACTTCTACGTAAAGATATTACTGAACCATATTAATTGCAGTTTTTGAGATTCAAACTTGAGCTCACTAATATTTTCTAATTTATTTTGCTACGTGTAAACATTGGTAAGGGTGTCGTTAAATGAGTCCACTCCTGAAGAAAATTTTCTATAGTACAAATTTGAGTTATGTAAATCTTCTTGTAATTTCTAAGATAGTTTTTTCTTCTGTGAACATTGAATTACTTTAAGTTCACCTAACATGTGTTCTCTAAGCTATATACTCCTACTTGACAAAAGTTTTAGTCATTTTTTCTTATGTAACGAATAAACAGAAAATAATAAAACATAATAAACAGAGGAGAACGTTTGGGAGACAAGATTTGTCCAGAGACCAAAGTCTTGATTTGTTTCTAGTGATTTCAGGACAAAATTTAACGTATTTTATACTAGTCGTAATACATAATAATTTGACACCAACCATGATTAAATAATACTGAATATCAAATCATTTTGATACAAACACCTTAAAAAAAGAAGAAGCCAATGATACACATCTTAATACTAACAGCTGTATAATTGATCACATGAACTGTAATTATATGATGACACACAGAGTTGAACTACTCACTCGACATTTTTAATTCTGAAATGGATCACTGATTCGACAATATCATTAGATAGCACTCTTTTCGTTTTAGGATTTTATTTGAGAAGAAAAAAAACTGACGCCCTCAAATATTTTAAAAAACCAATTTTTTTTTTATATCTCCTTTGCTTATAAATTTCCAAATTTTGAGAAAAGGCATATTTAACGAACTCTAGTAATTGACAGTGATTAGTCTACTAGTGTCTGTATTATAGACTTATAGTTGTGCTTACAATTTTGTTCATGTGCTCGAAAATGACAAACGTCGCCCCATAAGGACAGGACAAGAGTTTCAACGACAACTACCAAATTTTGTGATATGAAAATTTTAAATAAATCGAATACGAACTTTTGTTCCCCGCAATTAACGGTTTTGAAAACTCAAAAAAGACGAAGAGAGAAAACAGTATTCGGCAGACATAAAAGACGATACATATTCTAATGTTTTGAAAATGACGTTTAGCTATTATAATGATGAACCAATATAATTCTACATTTGAATAACGTTCTATAAAAGTTGAGTGCCTCATGTTACTATACAGTTATACCTCCCAATTTTAGCCAGGTCTCGAGTTTGGGCTGGGCCTGAATGGACTATCTATGTTGTGGGATGTGTGACTTTGAAAGATTTTTTTTTTTTCAGTTTACATGTTCAAGATTTGAATAGTGTGTCTAAATTTAATCTCTAAACCATGATTATCGGAAGAGTAGATATGGTACTTTAATAAGTAAGTTCAATACTTTCTGATTGATTTTACATTTACTAAAATGTTACTAAAATGTATTTTTGTACCATAATCTAAAACTACTATTCAAGCTCACTTTTACTTTTGTCATTCAAATGGAAAGAATAATTTTAAAAACTTAGAGTAAACAGAATAATTTAAAAAAATTAGAGTGGTTTTATTTACTAAAAAATTAAAAAATTAATAGAATTTTTAAGTTGGGGAGATAGACGATAAAATCATACGAATGTAGATAATAATTACTATAAATAATACGAAAACTTAATCTCTTTATCTTTTGCAAAAAGAGAAAAAGAAGATTCGTTTTAGCTTTTGTTTCATTAAGATTGAGTATGTGACGGCCAAGTGCCGACAAAAGATAAATCTAGAGATCATGTTCGAAAGCTAACGCAAAAAGCAAACCTAAAAGATAAAAAGATAAAAAAAAGATAGGAATGCATGATTGTCCAAACCTGAGACGATGATGCCAAGTTTTTTTGGTTGATTAGTTTCGGATTATTAGAATTATATGATTTCATATTTGATAATACGTACTTACGATGTCAGGTTTAGAATCTGTATTTACAAATCCATGCAAACGTAAGCTGTGACTTGGGATATCTTAATCAATATGGTTAAAAAACATATAACAGAGATGGACACATAAGGCCAAGAAAATAGAAGACTAATATGATAATAAGATTTCGTATACCTTTTACCAATAGAAAAGTATATGTTTGCATGCAATATAGCGATTTATGATGTTAACTTTTTGGCCATCGATCGGTTACGAAATTAAATTAAAAAAATCTGGCCATTGTTAATTACGTCTACGGAACATGTAATGGAAACGAATGTAACAGAGATTCATTATTGTGAATATGACTGTGCTCTTGTGATTCTAATTTGGCGTCTATAATATATAATATATATCATCAATCATAAGACTAATCAACTATACTCCTTCGTGTTGATTGTAACATGCGCGCAGCTGCGCAAGCAAACAACACTTCAAGGCCAACAGTGAAGATTGAAATGAAATAGTGAAAATGGTAATCAAACAAAACAAAAACTAAAATCAAAGTAAAGAAAAAAATTTATAATGCGAAAGAGCCAAAGCAATTTGTCTTTTAAATTATTCGTTAAAATGGTCAGTTTTGAAGTAGAAAATATTAATTAATTCCAAATCATTCATTTAGTTATTCATTTTTTTTTTTTGCAAGAGATAAATTATCTAATTCTGAAATTTTCGAGGAAAAAAGTTAAGAAATCCTGCTTCTCAATGTAAATACGTGCATATGATATGAAATATACTTGAATGCATATTACATGATATATACTTGAAATTAATTGTTATATATACTCTCAAAAGAAGAGATTTTTATAAGAGAATTATGTGTAATCCTTGGAAAAGTAGAAAAAGATGATAACATAAAGAAACATAATATAAAAAAAAACATAATCCTTTGAAAGCATTTGTAATTGTTCTTTCTCATAAAAACCAGGTTTTGTCCCTCTAATTGTGGAGTTCAGAGGCAAAGCACTACAGAAGTAACCAATTTTAGTGTCTTTTTGTTTTCTAATGGAAAATAGCTAAAAGAGATATATTAATTTTATTTTTTTTGAATCTAGATATATTAAGTTGATACAATCAAAACCTAGATACGAGTATTGTAAAATCAGCATGATAATTAAACGTTTTTAGAAATCGACCCACGTAAAACATGAATGCTAGCTTGTGCCTTTTTCTAAGTTTTTTTTTTTGGTGTGACTTAAGATAATGTAGTAGTCACAATGTCAGTTCAAGCCAGGGGCGGATCTAGAAAATTTATTCAACGGAGACAAAAAAATAGTAACAACCATCAAATATTAAATTATTGAAAAACATAAAATTGTCATATAAAACTTTTAAAACATCTTACAAAACTACCCGACGCTCATTTAACAATTGAAACCTTTTTATCACATTTTCATTTGTGACCGCTTCAAATAATTCTTTTTCAATATAGCAAACAAGACAATCACTTAGAAATTGGTCTCCAATTCTATTCCGTGCAGATGTCTTCACCAATTTCATTGCAGAAAAACATCTCTCAACACTTGCTGTAGCAACTGGTAAAGTTAGAACTAATTTCAAAAGCCTATAAACCAAGGGATGTGCAAGATGTTTTTGAGTATATGTCTTTTGAAAGAAAGGCTCTGTCTGTTGATACACTATACTCTAGCCAAGTACCGTATTTTTCAAACCAAGCTGGATTAAATCGTCTTGTTGCATTACTCATCTTTGTTCTTTTAAAAGAATGACCAGAAGGTTGACATGGACCTCTAACAAGATATTTGCGTCTTACCTCGTCTCTTTGATTCGGATGATAACTTACTATCTCTTTTCTCTTAGCTGGATCCCAAGGCAGATCATCGACATTGGTGTTATCTGGATCCAATGGTTGATCATCGACATTGGTGTTAGCTGGATCCAGTGGTTGATCATCAACATTGGTGTTAGCTGGATCCCGTGGTTGATCATCGATATTGGAGTGTGGCGTTGGTTTAGGAATTGGTTTGTAAAAATTTTTCATATTGGTGATTTAGCTATAAAACAAAAACATGTTATTAGTTAAAAATTTAGAAAACCTACAGTAATAATGTCACATCACACTATAATAATTTCTATAAAAAAGCAGGAAAAAGACTCACTAATTGATATTTGTTGACTTGCACTTGTTAATCGTCGTGTACAGCAAAAAAAACCAGAGGAAAAAAGAATAGGAGAAAAAATAACAACACACTAGGTTTAGGTCTTTAATTTATTAAGTTAGTTATTTTAGGTTTATATATTAATATTTTTGTTTGCTATATGGGTTGATAACTTGATATTGGGCTTTTGTTCGGTGGGGACAAAAAAAGAAGGAATAACAATTTTAGTAGAGTCAGATTTTTTTTTTTTCTAATTTTTAATAATTTTTTAATGTATTTTTTTTTTTTTTTTTGCTGGTGGCAGCTGCCCCACCATATGATATGTGGGTCCGCCCCTGGTTCAAGCCATCTCTTGATATCAAGTATACGCAACTCAAGTGGTTCAAAGCATGCAGATAAGGGCATGTAGTAAAAAGGCAATGCCATAAATTTGAGATAGGCATTCAAATCACTATCTTCAAGTAGCGTATATGAGAAAAGTTTTTTTTTAAGAAAGATTGGTTCATGCATTTATATTTTTACTATACTTCTTTTAGACAAACAAGTTTAGTATAACTGTATTATAAGAAGCATGGGCTAGCAAATATTGTTTTGAATGAGCAATGACTTCATTTGCTTATGCTAAAGATCAAAATTTTTCTAAACAACACGTCAACTCGTACGTACGTACATACACATGATCACAACTACGTTTTTGAAACCGTAGTAAACAAATATCATCGACAATTAATGCTAAAAACATGTAACGTTTAGTTTTGTAATCTCAAGATTATTAGAAAGATTGAGTCTAATTAAACATTTGCGAATAAATTTTTAGAATCTAGAGTCTTCATGATGATACCGTTAGAAGCGAATAACTACGGTGGTCACTGATTTAATTTAATTTCAAAGCTTTAATTTATTGGCGATATCCCCTATGAATTTATTTTATTTTCTGATAGACGTATAGCTTCAATAAAATTGGAATTATATCGCTGAACCAAACTCTAGTTGGTCTAATTAATTCACTATATATGTATATATATATATATATATATATATATATATATAAGTTAAGCAGAACAAAAATATATTATAGAACAAGGTCAAGCTTCTTTTATACAGAAACTATGAAGTTCAAATAACTAATTATCACAGCTAATAAAGACAATATATATAATTTCTATTAACTTAATATGCTTTTCCTTAATTGAAAAAGAAGCAATATCAGAGAACTAATGTGTGTGACTAAAAACAACCTAATAAAACTTTAATGAAAACTAATACAAATAATTTTCACTACTTCAATTATTTTCATATAGACTCAATATATTGTAGGAGAGAAAGCTCCTTTTTGCTAAATATTTCACGCAACTATTCATTAATTACATTAAACATACGACTTAAATATATGTTTGGAAAAAAATAAATAAATTATTTTATATAAAATTATTTATGTATACTTGCAAAAAAAAAAACAAATTCTAAATCTAAATCTAAACTTTTATTTGATGTCAAAAAAAATAAAAAATCAAAACTTTTATTTTTGTCGTTTGATAATATATGAGACAAATTCAGAATACGTTAAACATATTGAGCCAGATAATTGGTAAACCTTCCTTACCAAAAAACTCAGCTCCAATCAAATAAAGTTATTAGATATGATTGAGTTATTAATATTAGACTCAACTAATTTTCTTTTTCACAAGTTTCTTTTTCATAAATATTATATTATTATCACATGTTCTATATATACACATTAACACGCACATGCACATTAGTTTCACCTTGGCCATTCCTCTTTAAAGAAAAAAAAAATAGAGTATCGAAAAATAGAAAGCACAAAAGAGAAAGCATGAAACTCTTACCTCAAATCCATATGCTTCTTCTCTCCATAGCCATTCTTCTCTTCATCACACCATCATCATCATCATCATCATCATTATCACCATCTCCATCATCATCGTCACCCTTATTATCACCATCATTATTACCATCACCATCAAAACCATTATCACCATCACCACCACCATCATCATTATCACCATCACCATCAAAACCATTATCACCAACATCACTGCCACCATCATCACCACCACCATCATCATTATCACCATCATCACCACCACCATCATATACATCACCAACATCACCACTACCATCATCAATCCCACCACCATCATCACTTCCACCATCATATTCATCACCAACATCACCACCACCACCATCATCATCTTTATCAACACATCAAAACCAAACCAACTTAGATTACATCAAAACTTCATGCAACCTCACAATCTACAAAACCCTTTGCTACACCTCTCTATCTCCTTACGCCTCAAAAATCATTTCCAACCCTCAAAAACTATCCGTCACAGCCCTTAATCTCACTCTCTCCTCCGCCAAGTCCGCCTCTACATTCATCAAAAACATTTCTCATGGAGGTGGCCTAACAGGTTTGGAAGCAGTTGCGGTTGCTGATTGCGTCGAAGAGATTGGAAACTCGGTGATTTCGCTTCAAGATTCGATGAGAGAGTTGGACTCGGTCAACCATACAGATATTGCCAAGTTTCAGATGGTCATGTCGGATGTTGAGACATGGGTTAGTGCTGCTCTCACGAATGATGAGACGTGTATGGATGGTTTCAGCCGAATCAAATCAGTCGTGAAAGATTTGGTTCGGCAACATGTTGTTCAGGTCGCTCGGCTGACTAGCAACGCTCTCGCTCTCATTAATATGTACGCTTCCACGCAAGAAAACTTATCATATAGTTAATACACCAAAAAAAAAAAAAATACTTCTATTACAAAACTATGATTGTTGTATGCATGCATGTGATGTATACTTTAGGTATTGTGAATTTTTTTTCTGTGTATAAACATTGTTTTGTGAAGATTTTAGTATATTTTTGACCGAAAGTGATTCATCATTATAATTAGAATCATAATCATAGTCTGTCATGTTAAGCAACCTAGTTATATACACTTGTATTCTACCTTTGTTTTATCAATAATATTGTATTCATAACCTTTGATTTTGTTTATCTTTTCACAGTTTGTTTTGTACTAATTTTCGTTTTTTTTTTTTTTTTTATAACATGTGGGATATATTAATTTAGAACGTACTTATAAGACTTGGTATTGAAAGAGTAATTGGTTAGGAAGAAGAAAATCATAAATGAAACACGAGACGATCATCAGGCTTTTCGGCTACTTAGTTATTATTGTGTAATGTATGTGTCACTTGATGAACACTCCACCCACACAAAATCATATTGATCCATATTGTTGTATATGGCCAAGCTAATCAAGGTTGGTCTCAATTTTGTGTTCTTACTTCAACTAGTTGTGGTCTTAACAGTGAACATATCATCACACCATACTAGACGGTGATGACTTGTCTTTTCCTTATCCATTTGGACCAATAAAAATAAAAACTTTAGAAAATTTATAGACCATATAAATGATTTAATAAACCAACGGTTAAGAAGCAAACCACGCCAAGCCCAAAAGGCTTCGTTATCCCCAAGCCATACGAGAGATTACGAGGTGATGATACGTTAGCCAAAGAGTGTGACCAAGTTGATACATTTAGGATTACCCAAGAGGAAGAAGAAGGAAGAAGAAGAAAGGAGCGATTTTGATAATATAAAATGGCGGCGGATGCTCTGAGGATTTCGAGTTCTAGTTCTGGTTCGTTGGTTTGTAATCTTAATGGGTCACAGAGACGACCTGTTCTTCTTCCTCTGTCTCATCGTGCTACCTTTCTGGGTCTTCCTCCTAGAGCTTCATCTTCTTCGATTTCTTCTTCAATTCCTCTGTTTCTGGGTTCTTCTCGTATTGGGCTTGGTTCTTCCAAGCTCTCACACAGAAAAAAACAATTCTCAGTCTTTGCTGCAGCAGAAGGTTTGTGTCATCGCTCGTATGGTTCATAAAGCTTCCATCTTTATCTTACTTAATTTGATTTTTGACGTTAAAGTTTGAAAATTTTACATGCCGTCTAAGTGTTCGTTAAATTGCCTCTGAGAAGTTAAAGTTTTAATTTTGGCTAAATCTTGGATTTTATTTTGCTGAACTGCTTCCTTATTGATGTTTTTTTGCTGTTATATAGGAGAAGCTAAGCGAGCTGTGCCGCTTAAAGATTACCGAAACATTGGTATTATGGCTCACATAGACGCTGGAAAGACCACAACAACTGAGAGGATTCTTTACTACACTGGAAGAAACTACAAAATCGGTGAAGTGCATGAAGGAACAGCTACTATGGATTGGATGGAACAAGAGCAAGAAAGAGGAATCACTATTACTTCAGCTGCAACCACAACGTTTTGGGACAAACACAGGATCAACATCATTGATACACCGGGTCACGTCGATTTCACTCTTGAAGTTGAACGTGCTCTGAGAGTTCTCGATGGAGCTATATGCTTGTTCGATAGTGTTGCTGGTGTCGAGCCTCAGTCTGAGACTGTGTGGAGGCAAGCTGATAAATACGGTGTGCCCCGGATTTGCTTTGTCAACAAAATGGACCGTCTTGGAGCTAACTTTTTCAGGACGAGGGATATGATTGTGACCAATTTGGGTGCTAAGCCATTAGTGCTTCAGATTCCAATTGGTGCTGAAGATGTCTTCAAAGGTGTTGTTGATCTTGTGAGGATGAAAGCTATAGTTTGGTCAGGAGAAGAGCTTGGTGCCAAATTTAACTACGAGGATATTCCAGCTGACCTTGAAGATTTGGCTCAAGAGTATCGGGTGGCGATGATGGAACTGATTGTTGATTTAGATGATGAGGTCATGGAGAACTATTTAGAAGGAGTTGAGCCTGACGAGGCCACAGTGAAGAGATTGATTAGAAAAGGAACCATCACTGGCAAGTTTGTGCCTATTCTGTGTGGTTCAGCCTTTAAGAACAAAGGAGTACAGCCATTACTTGATGCTGTGGTTGATTATCTGCCTTCGCCGGTTGAAGTGCCACCGATGAATGGAACAGATCCTGAGAACCCGGAACTTATCATCATTCGAAAACCAGATGATGAAGAGCCATTTGCTGGGTTAGCATTCAAGATCATGAGTGATCCTTTTGTGGGTTCTCTTACATTTGTGAGGGTTTACTCAGGGAAACTCTCAGCTGGTTCTTACGTGTTGAATGCTAACAAAGGAAAGAAGGAGAGAATCGGAAGACTCTTGGAAATGCACGCAAACAGCAGAGAAGATGTTAAAGTGGCTTTAACTGGTGACATTGTCGCTCTTGCGGGTCTCAAAGATACAATCACTGGGGAAACCCTGAGTGATCCAGAAAACCCCGTTGTTCTTGAACGTATGGACTTCCCTGATCCCGTCATCAAGGTAGCAATTGAGCCGAAAACAAAAGCTGACATTGATAAAATGGCAACGGGATTGATCAAGCTCGCTCAAGAAGATCCGTCTTTCCATTTTTCCCGAGATGAAGAGATGAACCAAACCGTCATTGAAGGAATGGGAGAACTTCATCTCGAGATCATCGTTGACAGACTTAAAAGAGAGTTCAAGGTAAAACGTAACCTAAAATCTATTCTCTTCTTCAACTTTCCAAGCTTCTAACTCCTTTTCATCTTTCAGGTTGAGGCTAACGTTGGTGCACCACAAGTCAACTACCGTGAAAGTATCTCCAAAGTAGCTGAAGTGAAATACACACACAAGAAGCAATCAGGTGGACAAGGTCAGTTTGCTGATATTACAGTCCGATTTGAACCACTGGAAGCAGGAACAGGTTACGAATTCAAGAGTGAGATCAAAGGAGGAGCGGTGCCAAGAGAGTATATTCCTGGTGTAATGAAAGGACTTGAAGAGTGTATGGGCTCTGGTGTGCTTGCTGGTTTCCCAGTTGTCGATGTCCGTGCTTGTCTAGTTGACGGATCTTACCATGATGTGGACTCAAGCGTGCTAGCTTTCCAGCTTGCTGCGAGAGGAGCTTTCCGTGAGGGGATGAGGAAAGCGGGTCCGAGAATGCTGGAACCTATCATGAAAGTTGAAGTTGTTACACCAGAAGAACATCTTGGAGATGTCATTGGTGATCTTAACTCAAGAAGAGGTCAAATTAACAGCTTTGGAGACAAACCCGGTGGTCTCAAGGTATGAGGAAAACGGTTTTTAAAGATCAAACGATGAAAACCCCAAACTTATTCGATGAATCTGATATTGGCATTGTTGTTGTTGATATTGTAGGTGGTGGATTCTCTGGTTCCATTAGCAGAGATGTTTCAGTATGTGAGTACATTGAGAGGCATGACAAAAGGTCGGGCGTCTTACACAATGCAATTGGCTAAGTTCGATGTTGTTCCTCAGCATATCCAGAACCAGCTTTCGAACAAGGATCAAGAAGTTGCTGCTTAGAGAGAATTTTGTTTATCCTACACTGAAACTTAAATTGTGATTTTGTTTGGTTTATACCGGAGACATGTATGCTAATCAAATTCGTGAAGACAAGGTTGTTATTGTCTTAAAACACAGTGGATATGAGTGAAAAATGAATATAAAAAAAAGTCTGAAAATGGGGACGAATTTGATCTTAGTGTTTGGAGTCGTAAAAGAGTAATGAATCAGCCGAAATCGAAATAAATAACGTTTTCACTTCCGAGTTTATTTCATCTGGACGATTCCTGAGCTGATAAGCTTTTGAATTTTGTTCATGATCATCGGGTTCTGCATGTGTTTCTGTGCTGCTGCTGGATTCTCCTGGAGATCAGACAGTACCTGTCCAAACAAAAAAGTGTTGGATATTGGTGAGACATATCAACATGGAGATGGTTCAATTTCGGTTTCCAGTATTGCTCCCATTACATAATTGTAACATGATCTAGAGAAGTTTGTTTCTTTACCTGTCTCATTACAGGATCTGTGAGAATGTTCTGGATTTCTGGGTCTTGCATTCCCTTAGCCTGTAATAAGAAAGAAAGCAAAATCCCAATTCTTTAACCTAAGATCACAGGTTTTCTCGTAACCGAAAAAGGAAAAGTTTCATAATGATCTAACCTGTCTTTCTTTCAACTCCTCGGGAGTAAGATCACCACGGTTTGCTTTGTTGATCTGTTGCACACATCTGCAGAATAGAGTTCAGAACATGTTAGATAGGCAAATCAACATAACAAGATAAAATAATCTCTCTGTAACTCTAGACATATATAAAGTACCTTCTAACACCATCGAGAAGTTCTTGATTGTTAGGATCATGTTTGAGACCCTCCTGGTACGTTTCCATTGCATTGTCATACTCCTTCATGAAGAATTGGACTGCACCTTTTCTGCTGTATCCCTTTGAGAATGTTGGATCGAGTTCAATACATTTTTCAGCATCCTTCAATCCTTCGGGCATTGCCCCCAGTTTAGTGTAACATGCAGCCCGGTTGCTATACGCCTACGTGAAGTGAAAAGAAGTAAACATGTTATTAAAACAGTCAAATATGGAACTATTTTTGTGCACAACATTGAAGCACATATGACGATGCATAGGCCTTACTCTCGGGTCTTTTGGATTCCTCTTGATTGCTTCTGTGTAATGCCTCACCGCATCAGGATACTTTTGCTCCTTGAAAAACTCATTACCTGTATCACAAACACAGCAAAATGTTAGCTCAGCATTCTATACCAAGTTCTCAGAGTTTCTTTCCTCGCACAAATAAGACACAATTGCAAAGGAAATACCTTTCTCACGCTCTTCATCACCGATCTTAGGATCATAGTACTCTTGCTGCTCCAACTCTTTCTTTGCTTTTTCTGCCTCATTCAATCTCTTCAACGTTTCTGGATTACGATGCTCAGTAAGAGCTTTCTGGTAAGTCTCAATCACAGGTTCATAGTCTTTTGAGACTTTAGCCATCTTCCCCAAAGCAGTTCCTTTCCTAGTCAAAGCTTTAGCTACCATCTTGTAATCTGACCTAAGTTCCCTACCCCTTTCAACAGCCTTATCACAATCCTTTATGCACTCATCATACTGAATCAAACACATACACATTTAGACTCATAACCTC